ATTATTAATCTATAACCTATACATATTATATACATATTATATATATATATATATCGATCATTGTTTGCCATGGGCGTTGCTTCAATTGACCCGGTGACGTCACACAGCTGCGTCTTTGCTGCGAGGATCGAATCACCACAGCTGCTGCGCATTTGCACCTTCGGCCATTTATTCGGAGACGTTGGCGACGTTGAGCCATGGAAGCCATGGCCCATTGAAAGTTCGATGATTTACCCAGTTTGCGAACTGGAAAATGGGGATTTTCCATAGAAATAGTTGATTTACCTAGCTACAAAATGGTGATTTTCAACGGCTGTGTTAGTTTACCAGGTCGGGTAATCTGCAAGCCATTCCCAGAACCTATGTATGTAGGACAAACCACACAACAGATTTAAGGATAAAGGCAAGAAAATAAAACGCTGTCCCCTACTGGTCGCGTCCCCCTAACATTAAACACCCCCCCGGAACCCATGGTTTAGTAGGGGATTGACAGATATCTGGGATCATTTAGGGTGCGTTTAATATCAGGGAAGCGAGTGGTCCGAGCTGCCCGGGCCGGATTTGACAGCAAATGAGATCGAAGAGTATCGTGAGAAGCTACGCAGCACAACAATTGATGACACTTTGGGACAGGCAATGCGTGAAGGGGGGCTTTCTCGAGGACCCCTGGCATACCCAGCATGAACAGCGTGTTGACCAGCTCTAACTTCAATGAGGCACTGCAGCAATACGGGGTCACGCGCAGATGAGCAGTGCCAGCAAGAGAAGAGGGTGCTCTTCGCCTCTTTTGGCAATGACCGTATATGAAACACCACCATTCCATTTATATTTGCTGGGTAATCCCTCCAGTAAATTAACAGTTCGACCCTGAAAATCACTGATGTTTAATGGAAGCTAGTCTTCCAACCCCGATGACTGCCAGGGTCGAACTGTTAATTTACATTAATAACAATTAATAACCATAAATATATGCCATAATGGAATAACCATTAATCTATATGGAATAATCTATCCCATTAATAACAATTTATTATAATACCATATCATTATTCCATATAGATAGAACCATGTCATTAATAATCCCATAAACATCCCATTAATCCATTTATCCAGAAGGTGCATGTCGAGCACAAAAAACGGTTCAGTTTCTGTTCTATTCCACCGTGGATGGTAACTGACATTATAACTTACATGTTTTGATATCTTGATTCAATGTATTTAATTATATTTGATTCCTGCATTGAGCTTGCGGTTGCAAGGCATATGTGTGGAATGTTGAACCAAAATGTCCACCGGACATTTTGGCTCAAGCATAACCCAGTTGTGTCCCCTGGACAGGTTTTTGAAAGGGTTACTTTCGTGTATTTTCTTTCGCCCGTTCTTCGAACATGTCGGTTTCGTCGGGCGACGAGTGGGAGATGATCTCCAATGCTCTGATCAAGGATCAGGACGAAGCAGCCGACTTCCTTGCGCGACCGGGATCTCCGGGAGAGGAAGTGTCAGCTGAACTCCAAGCCAAAATGACTGACTTGCAAGACACCATCAACAATTGGCGCTCCGGATGAGCATGCGAGAAGAGGTCCTGGAACAGATTGTGGATGAGGACGCCAAGGAAGCGGCCACCCTGATCAAAGAGCAGAAAAAGAACTTGGCAGCGAAGCGATCCCAGGCCCGGAAGCGGCCAAGGCCTTGGACCTTCAGAGCAAAGCGATCCAGCACACCCACCTTATCCACCAGGAGGCGGAAATGGACGAGGAGACCAAGCGTCAGAAAACCGAGATGGTGGAAGGCACAGTGGCCCTCAACGGCTTGGATGAGATCTGAGGATGCCAAAAAGCTCCCGATGCTGACCTGGGCCATGAAGTACCACAAGGGGGAGCAGAGAATGCATGCGGGTTGTTGGCGCAAGACCAGAGGTGGACCCCCCAGACTTGGCGCTCAAGATCAAGCTCAACCTGGACCAGCTGCAGGCCCTGGAGCGCCGTACCCATGTGGACACCCTCATCGAGGACCCCATGGACCCAGTCCTCTTCACCCAGGAGGAAGTGCGGGCCATGTTTAGGCATGTGTTACCTTCGAGCTATTCTTTGCCTGTCAGGTATCTGCAAGGCATGTTTATTCGAGCAACTCGCTGCCTGTCAGGTGTTTGCAAGGCATGTTTACACATGTCTTACTTTGGAGCATTTCACTGCCTGTCAGGTATTCGCAAGGCATGTTTAAGCCTGTCTTATCTTGGACCAATTTGCTGCCTGTCAGGTACCTGTAAGCCATGTTTTGACGGGCTTTACTCTTGTGCAATTCACTGCCTGACAGGTATTTTCCCGGCATGTTTAAGCATGTCTTACTTTGGAGCAATTTGCTGCCTGTCAGGTACCTGCAAGCCATGTTTTGACGTGTTTTACTCTCGTGCAATTCACTGCCTGACAGGTATCTGCCCGGCATGATTAAGCATGTCTTACTTTGGAGCAATTTGCTGCCTGTCAGGTCCTGCAAGCCATGTTTCGACTTGTTTTACTCTCGTGCAATTCACTGCCTGACAGGTATCTGCCCGGCATGTTTAAGCAGGTCGTACTTTGGAGCAATTTACTGCCTGTCAGGTACCTGCAAGCCATGCTTTGACGTGTTTTACTCTCGTGCAATTCACTGCCTGGCAGGTATCTGCCCGGCATGATTAAGCATGTCTTACTTTGGAGCAATTTTAAGCATGTCTTACTTTGGACCTGGGACATTGCCCTTTTTCTCGGTGTCGTTTCTTGGGATTTGACTAGACGGATGGATATGCGATGCAGCGCCAGGCACTCACCCCGGAAGCGTGCCCACACCGCCCCGAATGACAGGAGGCCAACACAGGTGCCGCAGGCCCTGAGGAAGCCCGCTCGCCAAAACGGGCTGCATCAGAGCACCCCTCACCGGGGAAGGACCTCACCGGTCCACACGCCAACCCATGGCAAAACACCACGTGCCCAGGGGCACACCCCCTGAAGAAGGACCTCACCGGTCCACACGCCAACCCACAGCAAGACACTACGAACCCAGGGACACACTCTCTGAAGGGAGACCTCACCGGTCCACACGCCAACCCACGGCAAGACACCACGCTCCCAGGGGCACACCCCAAAGGAACACCACGCAGTCAGGAGTACACCCAAGGACCCCAGAGACCAATCTCACCAGTGGCCACCACACCACAATTCACGTGGATGCATCATATTCCCCAGAGACTCCGTCAGAGGCTGGACTGGACACCAGTATCCCTCAACAAGTGGGAAAAACCTGTGGTACTGTTGTTGTACGCAGGCAAGGATGATGCAGGCTCATTGGACGCCTGTCTGCATGCACACCATGCGTGGATTTCCCCCTTCATCAGAGCCATTGACACGAGGCGAGACGCCGGAAAGCTGGGCCAAGACATGCTGGCGTCGGAACCATACAACACCCTGTGTACCCTGGCGGCCCGCAGCCTGGTCCCAATTGTACTGAGCGGCCCGAACTGTAGAACCTGGAGCATCTTGAGATGGTTCCCCAAACCAGGTACCCCGAAGCCAGTACGGGGGAGAGAAGAATCCCGGGTCTGGGGCCTTCCGGGTCTCACACTACGAGACCAAGAGGATGTTGACAATGACAGCACGCTTTTGCTGCGTCAAATGTACCTCACCCCCCGGGCATATCAAGGTATGTCAGCCCAGACTGTCCCACACTGCCCTGGATCTTTCCCGGAACACCCTACGGATCCCAAAGAGGCCAGTAACAGCCCCAGTGCACACAAGTGTTCCACAATCTGGGACACCAAGGCCTACCACCACTGGGCCAAGAGCCTGCGACACCGGCAGATCAAGTTCGACCAAGCGGCAGCCACCCCAAGTTAGCGGACATCATCAGCAGTGATCTCAGCAGATACCCCTGGCAGATGATGCGGGGACTAGCACAAGCTATTGCCATGAGAGCCAGCCACACTGGAGGTACCCACGCCCGGAAAGACAGTACCCTTGGAAGAGACCCCGTACCAATCAGATCCCAGAGGCACAGGCCAAAGTGAACAAGGCTCTCCCAGCACCAGTGGGACACCAAGGAAGGCACCACCAAGTCACTCAACGCCAACACCCAGGTGGTTATGGTATTGCCCATGGTCCCACAGAGAGTCGACAATGTGGTGAGAAACAACACCCATTCACGGAGGAGCTCTTGGCCGACATCCGCCTCACTTTGGGAACGAGAGCTTCTAATCCACCAGCCCAAGGACAACTTCTCTACCTGGACCTCATCCAGGACTTGGCACCTCCGTCGGATGACCCAGACTGGACCGTTCCCATGGAACTAGCCAATCCACCCCACCACTACAGTCACCTGGCATATGGCCTTTGACGTCAGAGCTGAAGGGCATGGAATTCATCCAACAGGATTTGGATGACCCAATTGGACTGGCGAACTACTCCTCGGTGAGCGATTTTGCTGCCCAGGTCAGCCTTTGTCGAGGAGGAGCATCTGGGCATGGTGGAGGCCCCCCTCACCAAACAACAAGCGGCAACACTCTGCAACTGCCAACCAGAGGGCTTTGTCCGGGCCCACTTGCAGCCATTGATGAGGGCGACGAGATACGCACTATCTATGATGGATCAGCAGGAGGAGCAAATACCCATATCCAGAACCAGACCATGGAGCGGACCACAGCCCCTACAGTGCTTGACAGCGTTCAAGCCTTACACTGGCTCCATGAAGCTAGCCGCTCCCCGCCTACTGGCGCCGCAGGCCCACAAGGTGGGGGAAGAGCTGCTGACCAATGGCAATGGCCAAAGCCGCAACAACAATGGATCCTCCTGAACGCAAAGCACACCGCAGGGTCAAGATCCTTCCGGAGGACTGGCGATTCCAAGTTGCGGAGTTAGAAGGAGAATGGTGGATCAACAAAGTGGGTACCTACGGCATGGCAAGTGCACAACTGTACTGGGGGAGAACACACCCTGGTCCTTGAAGTCTTGGAGCTTTTGATCCAGAATACGGCAATGACGGCAAAGTCCATTGAAAGCCTTGGCAGACTACAATGGGCCATAGCAGTGTGCCCGCTGACCAAGAGCCTTTTGCAACCATCCTGGGCTTGGAAGATGGGACTCCTTGCTTTGTTGATGAAGGAGCTCTTCACCATCCCATACCAACACCTCTCCCCTTACTTGCCGAAATCCCAATGGTGGGGATGCAGCGATGCGAGTGCTGCAGCTGCAGGGGAGGCATACATGGGAGGATGGCTGTCAGATGCTCAGTCGCCTGCCAAGACCCCATATTGCAGGTCCCCACTCTTGGAAAGACAGTACCCTCAGACGAGACCTCACACCGATCAGACCCCAGAGGCACACACCAGAGTGAGCAAGGCTCTCCCAGCACCAGTGGAACACCAAGGAAGGCACCGTCAAGTCACTCACCGCCCAACACTCAGGATACACACAACAGGGACCACGTCATACAGGTGCCGCTGGCCCTGAGTGCGACAGGTTCACCCAGTGTACCCAAGACCCCCCAGCCGGGAATGAAAAGATCACCACCAGCTTCATCAGAGAAACACAGAGCAAGCAAAGACCTTCGTGCCCTTTCCTTGCTTACTGCTGGCACCCAAGTGAAGGCCAGCACCACCAACACAGCCCCACCATTCACCCAACCAACTAAGGCAACCACGACATCGACATTTCCAATTTCGATGGCACAACTGATGGCAGTGTCCGATCGCCCTTTGGTGGAACCGCTGGCCCAGGACATCCACCTCTTGGACGACATTGTCATGCTTCACGTTGCCTTCAAATCCAGGCCGCTCAGAGACAGAGGGGCTGCTGTCACAGGGGAGGCAGATGTTTACACCAGAGAGAAACGGAATGTGGTAGTGTCCATATGGCAGAAGGTGGCCTCCAAAGTGGACACATTCAACATGAAACCAGGCCGTGAACGCAGAGAGGACCTCAACCATCCTGATTGGGATGAACCCATACTAGACCTCGAAGAGGAACCACGAGAAGGACGGGTACCAGTGGACACCCCCGTACGAACACCAGGCAGTAGCAGCTGGAGTGCAATCTCCAACTGACCGAGACTGCCCTGCCCCAAGGGTCCTCTTCACGGAGCCTGCAGCAGGATCACTAAGAGTGGTATCCTCACGGACCAGAACTACGGCATCAAGCCAATCCCGAATCCACCTGCTCAACGGAGAAGGCACGGCCGTTGGATGTGGATGGCGACCCAAAAGTGGCAGTGTGGAAGACCTTTCCCCGGATGACTTCCGAAATGAAATGAGACTCTATGGCAAATGCACCCGGTGTTTCAAGACCCATGATCTCCCATTGGAATACAAACAAGGCCCTGCCCAAGTGGATGACGCCCCAGTGGACTGACTCATCCAATGAATCAGGATCAGACACAGATGACTCAGTGGACACAGAGTCAGACAAGGAACACATTGAGCTCCCTGATGGATTGAAAAGGCGCCGCTGGCCCTGTTGAAGATCCCGATGGACACCCGGCATCCTGCGGAAATGGCGTGATGTGCCAGGTCGTCCTTCGGAAATGGCGGAAATCATCGACCTGGCACACCTGGTTGATTGGATTTTGACACTGTACAGGAACAGTACACCAATCCCAGTCAAAGGGAACCAGGACAAACTGGCACCAATCCCTGCACCGGAAAACAAGGATAGTGAGTTGGTGCCTATGCTGCTTTCTTCACTTGGATCATTTTTCACACTTACATACATTTGATTCTTGCATTGAGCTTGCGGTTGCAAGGCATAAGTGTGGAATGTTGAACCAAAATGTCCACCGGACATTTTGGCTCAAGCATAACCCAGTTGTGTCCCCTGGACAGGTTTTTGAAAGCCCACCGCACCCACCCTTTGTTGGCACTACAGTGATCACTAAGGAACTAAGGCATGGCTGCACCACCTCCTGCCACACCACCTGAGGCCATACCTCCAGATCAGCAAGAAGACGTGGAAAGGCTCTCCAAGGGACTTTCAGTGCTGCTGGTCTCCAAGCAGATCCCATGGCGGGTCAAAGGAGAAATGGCAAGACAGGGCTACATCACAGTCGAGGATCTTGCTGACCGATGGGACAGCCCAGAGGAAGCACGTAACCATGGCCCCAGGGATCTTGACTTCACAGATGGCAACCATGGATTCACGCCACAATCATCGGCATTCACTGCAATGAGACTCCTCCAAGCGGTCAGAGCTGCAAGGATGCTTGCCACGATCCCCGGGACAGTTCACACTCAAGGAACACTGACCCGAAGCACCACACAAGGAGGATCACCCCTGGAAATCTCACTGGACAGACGTACCCTGGAGGAGACGTACATGAAGACCTTCAAGGTGAGTAGACCCCGCCTCGAATCCCTAAGGCAGTGATGCACTCCTCAAGCGTCAACACCGGTTCATTGCAAGAGGAGAAGTTGGATTCATCCAAGTGAAGCACCTGATTAGTGCTCTCCCCGAGGAAGGGGAACGCCCCACAAAGACTTCCAAACGTTTCACCCTGGATGGTTGGGAAGGCCAAGAAGAAGAGGAAGTCAGAGCAAACCCAACCACCCGAAGACAGCTTGAAAGGATGCACACGGTCTTCCGCACGACCCTGTTGATGTGCACTGCCTCAGCCCCCCAATTTGCGAACCTGAGCATCACCAAGGAAGAGCTGGACTCGTGGTACGAGCGGTTCTATGGGGAAGACATTGCAGGCCGTTCCCCCCCACCATCGGGGTCCATCCTGCTCTATGCGGAGAGGAACGCATGGAGGAAGATCCATGACATGGTCCATGGTGGCACGACCCCGAGTGACGCACTTCGCACTATCAAACTGGACCTTCTATTTTGGACTCGTGAGGTCTATGAAAGGGTCAACAAACAGACTGTCAAGACCATCCAAACCAAGGGGAAGGGTAAGACCAAGGTGACCACCCGGCCGGCAACCACACCTTGGCAGCCTCAGTGGATGAAGCCACGAAAAGGGGACCCCCAAAGGCAAGGGCACCACCAAGAGCACTCCCCGGGGGAAAGGGCAAGACGGCAAGACCACCAAAGGTAAATCGAAGAACCCAGGTAAGCCCGATTGGCCATCACACTGGGCCTTCAAGAACCCCAAGAATGTGCCATACTGCAGGGACTTCCTTTTGTACAAGTCCTGCACGGGCCAATGTGGCCGTTCCCACAATTGTCCAGTCCGCGTGGACGGATGGACATGCGATGCAGCACCAGGCACTCACATCCCGGAGTGTCCACACCCCCCAAAGTGACAGGAGGCCCAGACAGGTGCCACTGGCCCTGAGCGAGCCCCCCTCAACACAGAGGGCTGCATCAAGATTCCCCTCCCCGGGGAAGGACCTCACCGGTCCACACGACAACCCACGTCACGGCACCACGAATCCTGGGGTACACCCCCAGGAGGCACCACGAAAGAGTGAAAGGCCACTTTCCCAGGTTGGCACCACACCACAGTTCACGTGGATGCAATATATCCCCCAGAGACTCCAGCGACGTTTGGACTGGACACCAGTAGCCCTTGATAAGTGGGCCAAACCTGTCATACTCTTATTGTATGCAGGTAAAGATGATGCAGGTTCCCTGGACCCCTGCCTCCATGCTTACCATGCATGGATATCACCCTTCATCAGAGCCATTGACACACGCAGGGACCCAGGGCCAATGGGCCAAGATATGCTCGCCCCGGAGCCATATAACACCCTGTGCACCCTGGCGGCCCTATAGGACATGGAGTATCCTGCGCTGGTTCCCCAAACCAGGTGCCCCAAAGCCAGTCAGAGGACGATCAGAGGAACAGGTATGGGGCCTCCCCGGTCTCACCCCCAGGGATCAGGAAGATGTTGATAACGACAGCACTCTCCTGCTCTGCCAAATGTACCTCACATCACTGGCGTACCGAGGAGTGGCATCACTCTGCAGACCCCAAGGAGACAAGCAACAGTCCCAGTGCCCACAGATGCTCGACCATCTGGAAATCAAGGCATACCAGCACTGGGCAAAGACCTTGAGACACCGGCAGGTCAAGTTCGACCAGTGTCAACCAGGACCAGGCCCCCTTGCAGCCATTGACGAGGGGGATAAGATACGCACCATCTACGATGGATCCGCCGGTGGGGCCAACATCCACATCCAGAACCACACAATGGAGAGGACTACAGCCCCCACAGTCCTGGATTGTGTCCAAGCGCTCCATTGGCTACATGAGGCAAGCCGCTCACAGCCAACCACTGCCCCTCACTTGAGGGACGACTCCACTGGAACACAGCACTTGCAATGGCCCAAACCCGGACAGCAGTGGATCTTGCTCAAAGCTGATGTGACCAAGGCACACAGACGTGTAAAAGTCCTCTCACAGGACTGGAGATTCCAAGTGGCAGAACTGGAAGGAGAATGGTGGATCAACAAGGTAGTAGGCACTTACGGTATGGCAAGTGCTCAACTATATTGGGGCAGAACAGCAGCCCTCATCTTGAGACTGCTGTACAACCTCTTCCCCCAGGTGGACTGGGGATTCGTCTTTGTAGATGACTTCTGCTGGCTCCTACGTGCAGAGAATGCAGACCACCAAGCCACAGCAATCCTTGCATGCCACTCTGTTTGCGCTTGGAGTACCTCTGAGTTGGAAGAAGACCCACTTGGCAGAGGTCAACACTTGGCTGGGCTTCGTTATACACCCCAATATTCCACAAGTCCAGATGATCTCAACCAAACACATCCTGGTCTTAGAAGTCCTTGAACTCCTTATCCAGAACACAGTGATGACAGCAAAAGCCATTGAGAAGGCTCTGGGACGCTTACAATGGGCAACAGCAGTCTGCCCAATGACCAAAAGTCTCCTACAACCATTCTGGGCTTGGAAGATGACAGTAACCTCCTCGGGAAGACCACCCAAGACTGTCCGCCTCTTGGCACTATTGTTAAAGGAGCTCTTCACCATCCCCTATCGGCAACTTTCGCCTTACCTACCTAAGTCTTCCTGGTGGGGAGGTAGCGATGCTAGTGCGGACTCCACAGGAGAAGCCTACATTGGAGGATGGTTGTCAGACTCTCAGTCACCAGCCCGCAACTCAGTCCACTGGTTTCATTTTAAAGTATCCCCAGAAATGTTCCCTTGGGCATTCAAGGATGGAAACCCCCAGAAGAGAATTGCAGCACTGGAGCTGCTTGGCACCCTGGTACTCACCCACTGTATCCTGCAAAAGCAGGGAACGACTGCTGCGGCAGTGAGGATCCCCGTCGGAAGTGATAACCGCGGAAACGGTTTTGCTTTACTGAATCTCGCATCAAAGAAACCACACACTGCAGGCATTTTGATGGAACTTGTCCTGCGTCTTCATGTCGCTGGCTGCTCGTTAGCACCCTGCCACGTTCCTCGAGAACTTAATCAATGGGCGGATGATCTCACGCACCCGCTCTACGGTGGTTTCGCTCCAGAGCTCTATCTCGATGTGAGTGATCTTTTTGTACAGCTTAAACTTTTGCCCAGGCTCACCTCTCACCTGGATATAGATTTTTCCATCCACTTTGAAATTTCCATTACAAAAAGCTAGGCCTTGAGGCCCGTACAAAACGCATATTCAAGGCAATTTGTTTCTGGAAAAAGGTGTTGGGCACAGCTATTTGTAGCAAAAGGTGTCCTTGTTGACCTTGGTGTTAAATCCCACCTTCTTTTTGTAGTAGAAGGATAATTTTGATGGTTTTGGATCGAGTTTGAGGGACCTCCCCAAGGTTGTGCCCAGGTACAAAAAGCAGGTGCCATTGAAAAGGGATGTGGTTTTGGTCCACTACAAAAAGCTAAGTATTTCTTAGCCAAGCCAACAAGAGCAATGACCAAGGGGGATCAAGGGGTTGGATAAGAAATCTAGGTTCTTTTTGTAGACCCTGAATCTGGGTTGGTATTGCTTTTTGTAGAGCTTCAACTGAGGTTGTGCGGTTCTTTTCATAGACACCTAGGTTGTGAATCCTGGAATGTACCTACAAATTGTGTGCACAACGTCTCCCCTATAATTTTAACGGGGATATTTTTCCCAGTTTCCCACCCATAATCCCGTGACCGGATTCGGTGGGTTGTCCTGTTCCCTTTCACCCTCTCCCACAGATGTGACCAGTCGATTTGTGAATGGCGGAAATCATCGACCTGGCACACCTGGTTGATTGGATTTTGACACTGTACAGGAACAGTACACCAATCCCAGTCAAAGGGAACCAGGACAAACTGGCACCAATCCCTGCGCCGGAAAACAAGGATAGTGAGTTGGTGCCTATGCTGCTTTCTTCACTTGGATCATTTTTTCACACTTACATACATATATACATATATATATATATCCTACTTCAATATTATTTGAATTTATGTTTTGTTTGCCGCGAAATGTTTGTCCAGTTACATTCAACAAAAAAACGCATTTTTCGGTGACATCATCCCACACTGGACCTAGTGAAGCACAACAAAAACCCTGATTTTTTGTTGGGTCAAAACCCAATGATTTAATCCATGGCAAATGGAATTCCTATCCATGACCAATTGATGAAGCAGTTTTAAACGTCAATAACTTATTTCAAACCTTAGTCTCTTAAATTTGGATTCCTGTTGATTTCAAATGTCCAGGGAAAGAACTATGGAAAGAACTATGGAAAGAACTATGTAGCAATCCATGGAAATAAGGGGTGTTTCCAATAAAAATGTCACCCAATGAAGAAACCCACCACTTTGAAAGAAAAACACATTGCTCCACGTTCTTGGACAAAAAGCCTTTCAACATCAAATTAGATGTTACATACAAACTTCGTAGTTGGAAAGGAAAACAGTATACAACAATATACAACATCTATGTAATTCGGGGCCCCATATTTCTTCAAAAAGGAGAACACCAAAGAATGCATGTGCGCAAGCTCCAACTAGAAAAATAGAACTCATGAAAACAATATTACGGTGTGACCCTGTATACCGTAAAATTGGTTAACTAGTGCATTCATGAGTGTATGTATGGCTGTGTGCTCATGTGCGTGGATGAACTGCAAATGCAAATCCACAGCTTTTAAGCATTGTTTTCGGTGCTGCGAAGACCACGGTAAAACTTAGGTAAAACATGGTGAAACAAATTTATCAACTGCAAACGGAATGTTACTGGATTTAATTTGTGTTCCCTTGCGTATTTGTAGAAGATCAAAGATGTGTTACTGTATTTCTGTCGCTACGTTGTTGTGCATTGGTCCGTAGCAGTGTTGCAGTAATAGATTACAATCATTATAAATATGTTATGTTATCCAAATACAACGTTTAAACTTTATTGTTGCGTTTTATGCAAACAAACCCTGTCAACAAGTGTGGTAGATATACTTCCAAACTTTCAAACATACACGAACAAACAAGAACATATAATTCACCTAAAAACTCAAACAGTCTTATATAAAATCATAATCAAAAATATACTTATAAAGTTAAACAGTTGGAGTCAAATCGAGAAGTAAGGTCAAAGTTATGTTACAAGTTAAAGGTTCTCAGTTTTAGTTATAAGTTGTAAATTCAAAGTTAAAAGGTTACGAAGTCATAAGTTACACAGTTTGTAGCGTCAAGTCATAACTAGAAGCTCTAAGTTGTAAGTTAACAGTTATAACAATGTGTTTCAATTTAAAAACAGATCCTAAACCTCATAAATTGATTTATTGAAGTTTGATAGTCAAGAGTTATAAATTATGAGTTGTATTTTACAAAGTAGCTATAAGCTACAAGTGTGTATATTCGGTTTTATCAAGTTATACGGTATACAAGTATAAAAGCAAGTTAACACATAAGCCATTATTTGGGGTTTGCAGAACGGTTCGGAACGGTTCCGGAGATTTCCCCAGAACGGTTCGGAACGGTTCCGGATACTTCCAAAACCTCGGAACTATTTAGAACTATTTGGAACGGTTCCGGAACGGTTCCGGATTCCAAGCCTATAGACCCCAGAACGGTTCGGAACGGTTCCGGAGACTTCCATATAATAGCATATTTTGACTACATAATAACATATTTTGACTATGTTAGAAAAGATTCCACAGAACAGTTTTCAAGACAGGTAAGATTTTGAAAGCCAAGCCTTCCATGAACAAACAGCTGAGAAACTTCCAGCATTTTGTAGTCTACATCCAGTTTCACCTTCTCCCTTGTGCTCAGCATGCCTTTGCACTGCCTGTTCAAAGACTTAGGCGGAGAAGTTCCCTTCCCTTTGTCGTTTTTCTGACCCCTTTCTCTTGTAGCCTTGGCCCTTGGAGCCACAGGGCGGCTCTTTGGAAGGTTTTGACCGTTTTTTGGAGGGGCTGGAAGCTGTGGAGAAATATCTCCGAGCAAACTTGAGGTCTGCAGAACCGTTCCGAACCGTTCCGAACCGTTCTGGAGGTCTGCAGAACCGTTCCGAACCGTTCTGGAGACCTCTGCGCTAAGAAAATTGTCACGTAGATTGGTTCTCTGTGCCAAGAATCCCGGGAGTAGGAAGGCACGGACAAGGTTGAGCCATTCCGGATGCATTAGTCCCAACCTGAAAGTAACCCATCATCACCCTCAAGAACCTCACCGCTAGCGCTATATATTCTGAAAAGTATCAAATCATGGTCCAAGAAATTATTGGCAGCTATATACAATATAGTTTGTTTCTTGTATGGGTAGTAGCACGGTAGTAACAGTCTTGCCAGAGTGACAAAATATATAACAGCAGTATAGCCCTGGATGCAGCACTGCTACCGCTACTGCATATTTTTGATCCAGTCCAGAACTGGTTGGGAACAAGACAGCAATGGGAATGCAGCCAACAATCAACATTGCCTTGGTTCTTTTTTTGAAAAGGGAAGTCACATAATCCCAACAGCCTGAACACATTGCAGAAGCCAGCTCAGCGCGCCCAAACACACATGGACTGCCTTCCAAATAATTGAAATTACATATTGATAGAATTCGACTTCAGCGCCTGTTCCTTCCACCTAAGTATTTCTCCAATTTCGCTTAAATCGCCCGAATCTTCCCTCAAACAAATGCAGCATCACAAATTAAACCCACTATTTGTATGCGGGTTGTGTATTTATTCAAGGTTTCAAGTATTTGGGGCAATGTTGTTAAGTAATCAAAACTCAATTTAGCCCAGTCTCACACTGGAAAATTAATTAGCTGCAAATAGACTTCCACTTCGGCGTTTGTTTCTGTCGCCTGAGTATATCTCCCATCTTGAAGAAAGAGCAAACCATATTTTCAGACCAATGCCAGCCCCAGACTAGAATTTGGAATGCGTAATCTACTTTTGCGCAAATAGAATTCTACTTAGGCGTCAGTTTGTGACGCCTAAGCAAAATTCTATTTGCGCCTAGGTTGATTATGAATTATGTTTTCCAACAGCCCAGACTAGAATTCTATTTGCACCTAAGTAGATTATGACTCTAAATTATGTCTTCCAACTGTCCCAGACTAGAATTCTATTTGCGCCTAAGTAGATTATGACTATGAATTATGTCTTCCAACAGCCCCAGACTAGAATTTGGAAGACTTGGTCTACTTAGGGGCAAGTAGAATTCTACTTAGGCGTCAGTTCGTGACGCCTAAGCAGAATTCTTTTTGCGCCCAAGTATATTATGAATTATGTCTTCAAACCGCCCCAGACTAGAATTTGGAATGCATAATCTGTCTGGCGCAAATAGAATTCTACTTAGGCGTCAGTTTGTGACGCCTAAGTAGAATTTTATTTGCATCTAATTGAATGCCTAAGTAGATTTAGTCTTCAAAAAAGAACGAAACATAAGTTCACCCCAATCTCACAATCAAAATTTTATATCTATAGACTGTGGATCAGATAGAAATAAAGTATCCATGGCAAGTTTTTGTTATCTGAATTCATCACCGGCCCACAATACAAATTCCATTTTGGTCAAGTACTTCACGACTTTGAGTGCAAACCCAGATTGATGAATCTGGATGTGTCCTCGCTGTGTGCATTGTTTTGTTTCTTTACCTCTTCGAAGTATATTCCTTTGACATGGTTTCTAACATCACCTTCTATAAGATATCCTTATTGCCCTGGTTTCTTCCATAGTCCCTTCCATAGTTCCCTCCATGGTCCGCAAGGCCCACAGGTTAAGAGGCTAAAGTTTGAAATAATCAATAACCATGTTTTATCATGATCAATAACCATGGATTCACATTCATTTGCCAGTTATGTTCATATTGAGATTGGTGATTTCAATCGTGGCAATTGGAAAACACTGATTTTCAGATGTTGCCAGTTCGGTTGCCAATTGATCAACTTGTACCCACGTTAATACCCCTGTTGATACCCTCTGGTTTTTTAACATAGCCATGGAAAGTCCCCAAAACAAATGGAGGCTTCTAGCTGGGAAAATCATCTATTTCTATGGGCCATCTATACCATGGCTATATTAGTCATAACCAGGTTGGGTACTTGGATTTGCTGAAGATGATTTTTTATTTTCTATGGTTTATGACTGGGTAAACCATCTATATAAATGGTTAATCCATGGTTGATCGAAGGAAGTTTAGAAGTCAAACTTCCGACAATATGGAGAGATGAAAAGCAGAGCAGGGCAGAGGCAGAGAGAAGAGGAAGATTAGAACAGAGAAGATCAGAAGAGAAAGAGTAAGAAGACAGAAGATACAGTTGCGCGAAAAGGTAGGAAAGTCGCGAAACACTGTGTTTTTCCAATGATTTGTGGCTCCGGAGGGTCGAAAAGTAGGCTCGCTAAAGCGGCGGGTGCGGAGCCAGCTGGCCAGATGAGCGATGAAAAATTGCACGCCGTTGTGGCGCGAAGCACATTTTGAAGTCAAAATGTGCAAAACACACCAGGTTCGGACCACTTTTGGAAGTTGAGATGTCGAAAAAGTGCACGCCGTTGTGGCGCGAAGCACATTTCGAAGTCAAAATGTACAAAACACCCCAGGTTCGGACCACTTTTGGAAGTTGAGATGTCGAAAAAGTGCACGCCGTTGTGGCGCGAAGCACATTTCGAAGTCCAAATGTACAAAACACTAGGGGTTCGGACCACTTTTGGAGGTTCAGATGTCGAAAAAGTGCACGCCGTTGTGGCGCGAAGCACATTTCGAAGTCAAAATGTTAAAAACACCAGGGGTTCGGACCCCTTTTGGAAGTTGAGATGTCGAAAAAGTGCACGCCGTTGTGGCGCGAAGCACATTTCCAAGTCAAAAGTGTTAAAAACTGACGGTCTCGGACCACTTTTGGAAGTTGAGATGTTGAAAAAGTGCACGCCGTTGTAGCGCGAAGCACATTTCCAAGTCAAAATGTACAAACCACACCATGCTCGGACCACTTTTGGAGGTTCAGATGTCGAAAAAGTGCACGCCGTTGTGGCGCGAAGCACATTTGGAAGTCAAAATGTTAAAAACACCAGGGGTTCGGACCACTTTTGGAGGTTCAGATGTCGCTTCGCTTCACTACACTACACTACATTACACTACACTACAATCCACTACACTACGCTCCACTACACTACACTACATTACACAACACTACAACTACACAACTACACAACTACACTCCACTACACTCCACTACACTCCACTACACTAATTACACTACACTACACTACATTACACTACACTCCACTACACTACACTACAGTACACTACACTGCAGTACCTTCCACTACACTTCACTACGGTACACTACACTCCACTACATTACAACTACAACTACACAACTACACACCACTACAATACACTCCAATGCACTCCACTACACTAAATTACACTACACTACACTACATTACACTACACTACACTCCACTACACTACACTACATTACACTACACTACCTTCCACTACACTTCACTACATTACACTTCACTACACTCCACTACACTACAACTACAACTACGACTACACAACTACACTCCACTACACGAAATTACACTACACTACATTACACTACACTATGCTACATTCCACTACACTCCACTACACTACACTACATTACACTACACTACAACACACTGAATGACACTGCACCACAGATAGACAGGTAGACAGATAGACAGATAGACAGACAGATAGATAGATAGATAGATAGATACATAAATAGATAGATAGATAGATGGATAGATAGATAGACAGGTAGACAGCTAGACAGATAGACAGATGAAAGAGAGGAGAGAGAGAGAGAGATAGATAGATAGGTAGATAGGTAGATAGGTAATTAGATGAAAGAGAAAAAGAGAGAAAGAGAGAGATAGATAGATCGATAGATAGATAGATACATAGAAGATAGGCTGGTAGGTAAGTAGATAGTCAGAGAAAGAGAGGGACAGAGAGGAGATCCTTGACAACGTTGCGAACCCGTTGGAGCTAAAAACTCTGGTGTCACCAACTGATGTATGACACATTGATTTGTGGATTGACTTGTTACGGATGTCGGATGTCTGTAAAAACGTGATACCTGACATCTTCCCAAATGTATGTACAGAGGCATACATAAATCTGTGAGCTATAGGTTATGTATCCCTTCACATTGTTTCGCGGGGTGGTTTGGAAAACTTTTCTCGCCATCCAGTTTTTAGTGACGCCTTGACGCTTTGAAGTTTCATTGGAATTAGAAGCTCAAGATTGTATCCGTGCCAGCCAGCATGCAAATACTTTGTGGCAGATCCGTTTTGCGCGAACCATGTGACTACTTGGTGGCTGTTATTTTTTCTGAGGGAGTCAGAGCAAAAATTCCCTTGTGAGATGTCCATGTGGATTTCGATTACGCAAACTCGCAGAAGATGTGGGTACCACATTAATCGTGCTGAAAGGTCTAGCTTTACCGGAGTACGGTGCGCGTTTTTTGAGTTATTATGTCATGTCTCTTTAAGAGGTTCTTGCAAGAAAATCTTGAAGATGTCCTCTCTTGGAGGCGATTGTTTGAAAGCTTTTGTGGGCGTTAGTGTAGTTCGTATTTTAATAGATTGCAATGTTCTGTATCAGAGGGCTTGTTGATTTTTTATTTCTGGAGTACGCAGGGTGTAGTTTTGGGAAATCCGAACCGTTTCAAACGCGGCACCGATAAGAGGAACAGTTCGAATGGAATTTCGTTTTGTGGCAGATGGAAGCTGACAAATTTGATGCTGGGTGGGTCTTTGAGAAATTGTTCATGTCGTTGATGTTCAAACTTTGCAGCAAAAGAAATGCATCATGATGTTAAAACTGGTTTGTGGCAGGCTTAAAATTTTGATGGGTTGCATAAACAGTTTTTTTGAAACTGGCAGGTGCAAGGTTTGACAAACACTGTTGCAATTTGATACTGTTGAGTTGGAAGGTTTTTTTTTTAATGGTTTGTGGTAGGCGCAGGGTTTGACAAACTACTGTCGCAACTTGACATTTGGTTGGTAATTCTGCGGGAAAATGGATTGTAGCAGGCGGAGAGTTTGACAAACCACTGTGACCACTTGATGTTGTGGGGGTGGAAGACAAGCGCAAGGTTTAACAAATCACTGTCTCAACTCGACGTTGGGTCGGTTTTTTGGGGTTGGGGGCAGGCGCAGGGTTTGACAAACCACTGCTGCATTTTTTTCAAGACAAAACAGGTCCGGAGATCTTAACTTATAGCTTATCTATTTCTGGAAAGCAGCAGGCCAGTCATTGAGACGGAACTACCGTGGCAAAAGTAATGTTTGGTTGCATGAAATAGCTGGGTGAAAACTTAGAGTTGCCATTAGGGAACGCTCAAACGCTACACAATGGCAGAATTAAAGAAATAACCTAGTGAAATAGCCCTTTATTTTGAGTAGTGTAGCGTTAGGTTCGCGCCGCGCGCAGAGACAAAGGTTTTGCCAAAGGAAAAGTAACCAAAAACCCATCAGTAATTGGTTCAGATCCAAATTTTGAAACCAAGCAACTTTCAAGCCAAACAGTTGTAACTCTGACCAGCTCGTTGCCACGCAGATTCACAGAGATTTCTGAAAGAAATGATCCTGCGAAGTCATCTTCAAAGTGACAAGTTGGCTCAAATTTCAGAATTAGTTGCGATTCAGCGCGCTGATATAACTTTATTTGTTCTCCAACTGAAAAGAAAATGAGAGCAGCTTCTAGTTGACCCCTCTGTCTTGCCTCTTGACGCTATCTGTCCACGCGTTCCTCCCTGCGCTCTGTGCATTCGGGTAGTCGGTTGATGGGTTCCCTGTCTCGGGTTTTGGTTTTCACGCGTCTGCGCGTCGCGGTATTTTAGCCCTCGGTGGATGTCCGGTTTGTCTGCACGCCTTCAGTGGCGAAAGTAAGATGATGAAAAAGTTTCCTGCATGTGTTTCTGCGGGACAAGTTTTTGAAAAAAAATGACAGGGTGAAAATTGAAAAACAACAAAAACCCGCATTTTTTAGCCGTTTCGGGCGCCGGCGAGACATAGGGTTTGCGTAAACATAGATTTTAGCCATTCATATCCCCAATGATTTGTGCCAAAAACTGACGGGTCAAACATTTGACATGTCGCAGCGCGGCAGGTGGTGGCGGACGCATGATTTGGACGACGCGGGCAACCTCCACGAGGCAAAAAAACATGTCGAGAGACCACAGGATATTGTAGAATTCACGTTAATTAAGGTTAATTACTGGCACTTCACGTCAATTAATGTCAATTAATGATAGCTGGTATAATGCATGATATCCAATATAGTTTAAAATAGATGATAAACCAATATAGTTTCAATCCAGATATAATAGGGGATTTTAACATCAGATATTAGGTTTTGAATCATCAAATATTTTGGGAAAAATACATTTGTTTCACCATCAATCATATGGGGATATTAGCGGTGAAATGATGTTTGGCTGATGATAAGTTTGGGGGTTATACTGGTTTATACCAAACTTATTTGTATTTGTTGGTGTTCCAATTTTACAACGGCTACAATATATTATATTGGGTATGATGGGGCTAAAACCATGGATATAACATGATATAATGGGATATCATGGAGATAGTGGGAATATTGTAAACAATAAAATATAATGGGATAGAATTTGTTCATAGTTGTTTTGGTGAGTATATATATATTTATATCCAATATATTGGGGATTGTTTTCATCTATGAACTGGGAATGCCTGCTCATATGAGTAGGGTAGGTTTGAATGGTGATTTAAAAATTGAACATGGACTTGAACCATCAAACATATTGGGGTGTACTGGATAGTTGATGGTCGGTAGGTTATTGAAATGGTGGTACGGCCTGCTTATACAGGGGTGTATAATATATATATATATATATACACATATTCTACATAACCAGCCAGTATAGTGTCAGTATACCAACAGAACTGCCGGGGGATCCAAAGATTGGTGTTTTGTCCAGTGTCTCACAGTGATCATAACTCAATTGTGGTTGCCATATAGTGTTGTGATGGTGATAGACAGCTGGACATTGGTGTACTCGGTTTAAGCGAACATACCTACCCTCTAGTAAACCAAGATAGATATGGAAAATCCATAAAAAATCCTGCATTTCTAACGGCAATCCATGAGTGTTCCATAGATTTTTGACGACGTGAACCGCGACGGGTGTTCCATGGCAGGGTAAGCCTTGACTCACTCGGGGTGACTCGGAAGAAAAAAATCGATCAATCCAATGTCGAAAAATCCCAATGATTATCCCAGTTAAATGTGGTTAAACCATACTAACCTACCATTTTGTAAGTTTATCTCCATGAAAACCATATGAGTAACCGACAAAATTATTGTAATACCAATTTATACTAATTTAGTTTTGCTTCGCCTTGGCCTTTCCGAGATTGCACAAAACTTTCATAACCGATACCAATACCCCATTTGTGATATGGCATTAAATTTAAGATATAATTGTGTCCTCTACTCATATGTGTTTTGCAAGTATTGTACACAAATTCATGTGCAGATTCTGTAACTCCTAGCATTTTGTATCCATTTTGTAAGTTTATCTCCATGAAAACCATCTAAAACCCATGCGATGCTGACGAAAGCCAGGCGGATGAAACGCTCCAATGGGCCATGTATGCTGAGGTGCCGGGCTGGAGATGGCCCAGAAATCGTAGGTATTTAGCTATTGGAAACAGCATTAGTTGGTACAAATTAACCATGGTTACTTTTTGGTTATGTCAATAGTTTGCTATTGAAAATGGCCCAGTCGAAATAGTTGATTTTCCCATTTGTCATAGTTTTTTGTATGTTTACCAAAGGGTAATGGTGTTGTTTTTAATGTGTTGGTTTGAAAAATATGATTGAAAACTGGTTTGTTGATGTTTTTTTTGAATAGTTTTTAATGTGTTGTCAATGGAATTTTCAGTGATATATATGAATGTTATATTTATGTACATCGCCCAGCTAAAAATCAACAGCCGCAACATGCCGCCATGTGTTCGCGTGCGCAATCAAATTTGCCATTGGAGTCGCAGATACGTGTTCGAAATGATTTCAACATGTAATCTCCATAGGGGTTTGTCTGAAAATTCGGAATACCCCCAAACGATACTATGAATGTTGTAGACGCAATAAGAAACCAAACATTCGGGGATGGTTTATACCATCCATTTATGATTTGGGGATGGTTTTCTACAATAGTTTTACCACAAAAATGTTGTGGAAAATGGTGATCATCATTGGATACTCCGGGGTGGGATCTCGAGTGGCCGGCAGCGTAACGGCTCAATGGCGAGAATGGTGGTATCGCGCTGGTTTCTGGTGCTGGCGTTGGCGGGGCACCTCAGAAGACTTGACAACCTGCAGGGTTTTTTTCCCGGAAGTACCCAGAACTGGGAATATTCTTTAAAGCAAATCCAAGACTTGGGGAAAGCTGATAACCTACATTTCACCGAAAAAAAATAAGGGAGTTATCAGAGTAGGATGTATCAGATTTGATTTGAATGATTCTGATTTGCCTAGAATTCTAGGTCAATCTTACATGGATACTTTAATCCTAACTAGTCTTTTGGTATGAAAATGGGAATATCTACGTTCACCAGCAAAGAATTTTAGTAATTGTTTGCAGGGTATCTAAGATTGGCAATGTAATGTTAATGACGCATGATAGATGATTTACCCTCTGGTAAACTAAGATTTGCTATAGAAAATCACCATTAGTTATGGGTAAATCAACTATTTCATATTAAGGCACATTATTTCATATTAAGGCCATCAGCAACTCTGCTGTTGCTATGGATCAACAGCAATTTGCTATGGAAAAAGAGCAGAAATCAGGACTGAGGTTGTAGAAGAATCATATCTGAGTTGTTCTATATTGCATATGAACTATAGATATATATGATATCTGCTGACTATGTTAGTTACACTTGTAACTTGTAAGCCTAACTTGGTTAAGTAATACTAAGTAACAAGCACCACATAGTAGTTACACATGAACGATCATAGTATGTAACGTTTGTATGTGATATGAGCAATGATTGCTTTAACAATCAATCAACCCTAGCATCAAGATCCCAAACATGTTTGTTGCTGCCGAATCCACATGCGTTTTTGTTGATGGACTTTCCACAAGCTTCCCAGAAATTACACATACGCACCCCACATTGTTTATCATTTTTCCAGGCATCGAAAGATGCCTTTCCATCGGAAAAAAAAAGAACACAATAACATTAACTTTCTAGACAATGTTATAATCTTCCCAGATATACTGTACCAGACATGCGATTGGAATAACCATTAAAACATAACAGCCCACATACTTCGCAAAAAATCCAACCGTCTCAAAATGGCCCATTTGCCCAATACCAAATGTATCAACTATGCCAATAATAAAGTAAACGTGGTTTTTCAAGTAGTAAATACAATATCAATGTACCAAATAGTCAGGGCTCGTTCTGTTGGTAAAATACCATTATTATATTACTATTATCCGGTTCAAGCATGAACATTGGTTTCCAGTGATTAGCCGCTAAATACGATATTTAATTTACTATATATGAATATCAAACCACATAAGACCAAACGAAACATAAGAACTACTTTTAAACATCCAACAGGGGTTTTCCTCGTTGCATCCCTATTTTTCCCAATTTTAGATGCGTAATTCCCAATTTTAGGATATATTCCGGTCAAAACATAGTTTTAAATGATTGCACATATACAAAAAAACGTAACAACCCCATTACAATTCCTATGAATTTGCCATAATTACATGTTCCATTTTTTACAATTAGTATATTTACAGTAATAATTAAATACATAAAAAGTATAATTTATCCAAATATGGTGTATATATATATACAACATCAAATATACCAACATCAACCATATATTTGATATCAACATGCCATATCACCATATCAGTATACCATATTACATCAATATTACATTAATTTATGACATATATCCCACATATGTTGCTCAGCAATCCCATCAGTTTCTCAACTATTTCCCCATTTTGGCTAGCAAAAATCATCAAACAAATCCCACTTAGATGGGCCATGAAGTTCGTGAACTCGTTTGCAAATGGATTACTGGTTGGTGGTTTGGAACATGAATTTTATGACTTTCCATCTGGTTGGGAATGTCATCATCCCTGACGAACTCATATTTTTCAGAGGGGTAGGTATACCACCAACCAGGATATATCATAGCTTTATAAACCCCTCCCGCCACCCAACACCCGGCAAAACCATAAGGATTAGTAACGTTCTGGCACTTTAGTGCACTATGTATACATATACACATGGGAGCCTATTAAACCTTAGTAAACCTTAGCAGGGCTTACTAAAGCGTTGGGGGCTTGTGAGAATAACCCTGAAATTTTGGGGGCTTAACGAAACCGAAATGCATGTAAAAAAACATCAAAATTGTTTCGTTAAGGAACCCACTAAAATTTCATGGGGGGCAAAATCTTTAGTATGCTTTTTTCGGTGTCATGGTGGCTACCCAGGGCAACGAATCCAAACTAGATGGTGCAATATCACAAAGTGTTTACTAGACACTTGGCCTCAGGATAACGTTCGTTCCAGCAAAAACGTTTAGGGCTTAGTAAAGATTATACGTCTGGTATCGATGTCCATGGGGAATATGGAATAACCTCAAATGGTTAGGGCTTAGTAAAGATTAAATGGCTTTATCCTGATCCAAACACACCCTGTGACTTGAACATTTTTTCCATCCGTTGTATTACCCCGAGCCGGACCTGGCGGAGCTGTCACCACCACATCGTTTTCATTATGTTTTTATTGTTGTTGCAGTACCTTAGTATTGCAACATCATGCAGTTCTCATGAATCCCAGATGATTCACAAGAATCTGTAGAATCAGTACCTTAGTAAAGCTTAGTAGTAGGCCAGTAGGCCTATGGCTTACCATGTCCCTGACCCCAAAGTTCTCATGAATCCCAAATGACTCACAAAGAAGAACAAACAAGTTAAAAAAAAATACAATCCAACCCAAACCTCAATTAGAGAAAAAATAAACCAAAAGCAAAAAAAAACTGTTTGTTTTCATGTTTAGTAAACACCAGGCACCCTTCAGGAAGGGCAAGCTTCGTACCGACCAATTGTTTAGTAGATGCCACCCGCTCTTGCCAAAGCACCAGTGTTTCAACCACCAAAATGTTTAGTAAAATCCAGACCCTCTTCCCAAACACCAAGTAGTCCCACTCACAGCCATCGTATGACACAAAACCGTTTAAAGCTTACTAAGCCTTATACGTTTGTGCCACTCCCTTTGGGTCAATCTGTGATGTTTCCTTGATGAACAATTGTGCGAAGAAAACAGCTATTGGCCATAGAATGACATATGTGGGATGTGAAATGCTTAGTAAAAACCTGACACCCTTGCCACCACCCACCAGCCCAATCAAGATGTTTCCAATCATGTCCAAAGGCAAAAACGTTACTAATCCTTATGTTTTTGCCGGGTGTTGGGTGGCGGGAGGGGTTTATAAAGCTATGAATATAGTGACGAACCAGTTAGCTAATCCCATGTAAGTAGATGAATATGCTTCGTTTGGTTTTTAGCGAAGGGCTTCGTTTTGAGTGGAACCAAAAAAAAACAGGTTCGCCCAAAAATGTAGAAGACCCTAAGAATGGTAATCCTCTATGAAAATACCTGATTATTGTCCCATAATTATCTAATTATAGTGATTATCCCACCATGATCCCAGTGCTATGGTGATTATTCATGTCCCATTAGAATCCATCTAAGCAGTTTTCTTGGTTCTCCCACATCATCCAAAAATCGAGGATACCCCAGTGCTATGGTGATCTAAGTTGGCAAACCATCTAAAGATCAACAATTCGCCATGATCATTATCCCATGATTGTCCCCAAAAAAGGATTATACAATCCATAGTATTACCATAAATCATTAATCATCAATCATCAGTATCCCATATTTATACAATTATCTCTGTGTTTTTTGTGGATTATGACAATCCATAGTAGGGAAACCTATGAACCAACAAACGTATTACACGAGATTCAGATTTTCCATGAAGAAATCCCAATGGGTGAATTCCCCACATTACACGATAGAAAAAAAACAACAAAAAGCCATATAAGACCCTACAAAGCCATGGTAATATGGGAAATGATACTTAGATTAGTGGTGATTTTAATGTGCTAATTATATGTATGGTAATAAAGGCATATAAATGGGACATTTAAAGGAACATAATGGGACAATTTTAAGTTCCCACTAATTTCCCGTTAATATACTATCTAAATCTATCTAAGTGTAATTCACCATTAATATACTATTTCCCATTGGTATGCATATTCCCATTAGGATTATAATCGAGCATTATTACCATCTAAGTATAATCTACCATTAATATACCACTATTAGATTAGTTACCATTATTAGATCAATATACTTATAAGTCCCATATGTAATCTAGTTCGAATTGCCATCAAAATAAACCATAAATTATTACCATAAATATAGCATTATTACCATTAATACGATATATGTATATATATATACCATTAGTATACTGTTCAGTCCCATAAAATACCATTTATACTGATTATTTGTATACTGAGTATATTTATATATATATCCCATCACATCAGTATAAATTGATAACCATTAATATGTGATAAATATATTGTACTACCATTATATTACCATATTAATGGTTATCATATATTACCATTAGTATACTAAAGTATATGTAGTATACTACCATTATAGCCATATGAATGGTATACTAATCCCATAATATCTTACCAAAAAAATATACCATTCATGGCGATGAATTCAACGGCCATTTCAGGAACCTAAATTGGAGGTACCTACCATATATAAGGCCTATGTTTTAGGCCTATGTAAGTGAATATCACCACAAAATATGGCCAAAAATATGGTACAGTACCTCCATTTTAGGATCCTGAAATGGCCATTGATTCATGGCGATGAATCTCCCATGACTCCCAGGCCTGGGCCCAAGACGATGGCACCTGCGACGCACAAAGTGGGCAGTGCACCAGCGATCCGGGCGCGCCACATGGCGGCGCCCTGGTGGTGTCTTCGGCGTCGGTTGGGCGTGGTGGTTTTTGGTGGCTGAAATATATGGGTAATGAATGTGGCTATAAAATTTAGCTGTTATTTAATGAGAAATGCCCATGAAAATGGGATTTTAATGGGAAATGCCCATGAAAATGGGATTTCAATGGGAAATGCCCATGAAAATGGATGTTTATAGCTGGGAAAATCAACTATAATATGGGTTTAATAGGTATATACCCTCTGGTCCTACAAAAAACTATGGAAAAATCACCATTTCGAATAGGTAAACAAACAGTTAGCGAACTGGAAAATGGCCCATAGAAATAGTTGATTTACCCATTATAAATGGTGATTTTCCAAAGTTTTTTGTATGTTTACCAGAAGATAAGTGGGTGAAAAATATGGGGATTGATATGGTTGGCTAGTGGTTTTAATGGTTTTATGACTTTGAAAGGTGAACTTAGGACTACAGGATGGGGCCCGAGTTCGTTAGCTAAGTTGGTTTATACTACAATAACAATAGTGTATGATATCTATAACTATATTTAGGTGGGGTTATAAACCAACTTCTAACTGGCGGGGGGGCATCCTGTATGGTTTTAATATGTTTTAATTAATGGTTTGGTTTTTGAAAGGTGACTTTTAGGTGGCTTATTGATATGATTTGATGGAGTTATCATCTGACTATGTCAAAAAAAACTATTGAAAATTGCCATAGAAATTGTTGATTTACCCAGCTAAAAAGGGTGATTTTCCGTAGTTTTTTGTATGATTACCAGAGGGTAAATGAAGTTTTAAGATATATATTTAATGGATTGATGTGGTTTTATGTATGGTTCGTAACTGTGTTCAAAGAATTTTATAGTGTTTTATACTTGGTGTGAATGGAGTTTGCTAGTTGTTTTTTTGCCCTAAATTTTATGTAGTGTTAACAGACTTTGGGATTACAAGCATGGAAAGAGATGTCCTTACCTTGTCAGAAATTGGGGTGTGTATTGGGTATGGATTTTATATGGTTTGATTGAGGTAGAATTGGATATAAAACAAAAACTTTTATCTGAAGTTGTGTTTGTGTTCATGAGGTATAATGGTTTTTGACCGATAAGGATAATGACAGGATTTATATTTCGAATTTTAGGTCGATTATGACGAAACCAATTCCTGGTTGTTAAGAACCCATGGTTGGGTGGTGTTTTTTTTGGTTACATGCTGAGCCGTGATTGGAATGACGATTGTTTGTTTTGTCAAGTTAAATGGGGTGTGTAGCAAAACATTGTAATCTTCATGGGAACCATCATTATCATTGTGAACCAAGGGACTTTGAGGGTCCAGATTTTTGAGGCGACACTGATATGTCAGCATTGTGAAAAAACACCTCTGTTGGTTGATGATTATATGGCATTATTTAAAAGCAAATATGTTGGGGATGATCATCATCCATTATGGAAATTCTTATTCACCACCACTGCAAAAGGACCACAAACGGAGACACTAAAACGGCTGCATCGACGAAAACGGCTAGTGATGGGATGCCGATAGACTGGCTGGTGAGCAAACGAAACTGGGGGATGGGTCAAAACCTATGATATCGATATATTACGTTCTGGTTATCCGAAACATAGCCATGGTATAGATGGCCCATAGAAATAGATGGTTTAGCGTTCTTAAAAATGGTGGATCTTTCCATGGCAAACTGTTAGATAACCAGATGGTAGGGAATAAACATCCGTTTACCCTCTGGTAAACTAACATAGCTATTGAAAATGGCCATTTATAGTGGATTTACCCATAAAGAAATATGTGATTTTCCATACTTATGTTAGTTTACCAGAGGGTACCACCTCCTTTGCTGTTCACCAGGGTGTTGACATATAGTTAACTAGACCAAGCACCGAGATGGATATTTATGGCCAACAGATTTTTGCACCTGGATATGTACATCAGGAATTATGCCCAACTACAATGGTGATATCAAATTATCACTAATGATGGATGATTTGTGTACACCAATGATTAGTACCAATTAACTATGAATATCCAAGAAATTTATCAGCGTTTAGAACTAGCAGAGAGCTGCCTTGAATTCTGCGTGCCTTCACGAAACCTTCAGAACCGATCGAGGATGACCCATGATGACCCACTTTTGCGAAAGTGGCAATCATTTTGGGGAACACATATTTCTGTCTGCCACTCATATACCCGGCCTGGTAAACTGTTACATAACTATGGAAAATCACATTTTTTATTGGGTAATTCAACTATTTCTATGGCAAATTTCAATAGCTATATATGTTAAGTTACCAGAGGGTAACCAATCATGTACACTGATATCACTGATGATCATCAAACATATGTTTTTTTTTTTGGCGTTGCCCGACTCGTGTAACAAAAAAATAGGTAACAATAGGTAACAACCACTGGCGTTGCACCCCAGAGTTGGATGGTTGAATGTTGCTGATTGGTCCATGGGTACGGGTACCTCCTACTGACAGATGATTTTCATCACGGTTAGGATGAAAAAACACAGGTCCCAAGATAACACTGACTTAAGATACCCTAGGGTAAACTAACATAGATGTGGAAAACCACTATTTATAGATCATATTCTCAGGGAAATCATGGGTAAAACCCACATGTTTCCTCCAGGTGTTTTTCTCATTTCAGCTTGATGACATGTTGCGCTTGACCGACCCAGGATTTGATACTGGCGGATGACGCAGCGCTGCTGGGCAAAAATGGGTCCAAGCATTGTTTTGATGTTCCAAAAGGGAATGGCTATAAAACATATGTTAAATTCAGCACTACAATTCGATGCCATTGTCCTTCTTCTTAGAACCAATCATATAAAATGCCTGGACATTTAACCATGAAATGCCACTACATGATTATATGGAGGATCCCTAAAATGGGGGTACCCCCAGTCATCATCCATTTTTGTTGGGGATTTTCCACCTTTTCCACCATCCAGCTATTGGGATATATTTATGATGGGGAAAAGCCATGGTTAGGGGTATCCATATGTCTTAGGAAATCACAATTTTCCCATGCTTTTCCTATAGTTTGTTCCCATGGTTTTCCCATTTTCCATAGTTACCCTCTGGTTATTTAACATAGTCATGGAAAATGGCCCGTAGAAATAGATGGTTCACCTATTGAAATTGGTGATTTTCCATGGCAAACTGTTAGTCATAACCATTTCCTATGGTTTTCCCATTAAAACCTCCATTTTCCCATTTTCCATAGTTAATTTACCACAGGGTAGGAAAGCTCCTAAGATGGTAAGACCTGGTATGTCCAAACCACTGGGCCACCCTTTTCAGATCTTGGGCCAGCCTTTTCTGTGGAGATATCCCAACAAAACCCGAAAAAATGGGAGATTCCATACAGGATGGGGCCCCCCAGTTGTAAGTTGGTTTATAAACCCCATTAACATCAATTTATTATAGTTATATCTACCATAAACCATAGTTAAGCCACTTATAAGGCAACTTAGCTATCTTGGGGGCCCAATCCTGTAGTCATGGGGCTATTCCCATAGCTGGATTGTTTATTTCATGGAAAATCCGAAACACAAATGGATGATGATAGGAAGTACCCCTATTTCAGGAAACTCCCAATTGACCGCAGTTATGAACCAACTTACCGGTCTATTTTTGTGTTGCTTTCCTGTCCCATGAACACACCAGGGTTTGCCCAGCATGACACTCTTTTTGATAGAATTATGTGAAGCTTCCGTGTTTGGACTTACGATTATGTTCGAAGAAGAGAGGGAAATAGTGATAATAAGTCATCCATAGCCATCCCATTATCTAACCATGCTGGTTGGTAGTTTCTAACCAATAGTGGTTAATAGTGGTTAATAGTGGTTAATAGTGGTTAATAGTGGTTAATAATGGTTAATGAGATATCTGGTTGGTAGTTTGGAACATTTGGATTATGACTTTCCCATCATATTGGGAATGGAAAATCATCGCAACTGACGAACTCACTCCATCATTTTTCAGAGGGGTAGGTGGCTCAATCACCAACCAGCCAATGTTTTAACCAGTGATTAACCATCTTCACCACTATTAATCCCAACTGACTCCATCATTTTTCAGAGGGGTTCCCAGCTCAACCACCAACCAGCCAATGTTTTAACCAATGATTAACCATCATTAACCATCATTAACCATTATTAACCAATATTAACCATTACTAATCACCATTTTCCTATGGTTTTCCTATGGTTTTCCAAGGAATCCCATAGGATATTTCACCATCCATTTATCTAACCGTCTGACGCCATGGGATCAGAGATCTCAACGCCATTCCAGACGGTGAATCCATGGCAGCGACGCCAGCATTGGGGACGGTTTTTCCACGTTCAGCATGAAAATTGCCTTCTTTCCACGTTTAATGGGATTTGAATGGGCTTTTCTTCATTAGCTGAATGAATGGTTTAAGGGAACATGGTAATTTCAATTTATGAACATGGAGTTTCATGAAATTCAATGGGATTATCTATATCATTGGATTGGTTTAAGGGAAAATCTGCAGGAAAGCCCCATATGAATAATGGGAAAATCTATGGTTTCCTGTAAATTGTCCCTTAAACCAATCCAATCAAATAAGCATTCAAGAAGCCTTGAGTAACCATCCATAAGCATCATAAGCATCAGTATAAATCTATCTAAGCATCAGTAAAAATCTAGTTGGTGGTTTGGAATTTTGTTTCCGTCTATTGGGAATGGAAAATCAAAATCATCCCAACTGACAAAGTCATATGTTTCAGGGGGGTAGGCTCAACCACCAACCAGCCATAATTAACCAATGATTAACCATCATTAAGCACTATTAACCATTATTAACCACTATTAACCATTATTAACCATAATATTGTTTAAACCACATTAAAGATAATTTGATATATTTCACCAGCACTGATCGGTCATGACCCAAAATTTTCGCGGAGGAAAAAGATGGTCGCCTCCAGCAATGCCAAGTTGGAGTTGTCTGAGCGTCAGGCGTACAGTTTCCAGCGCGGCTTCACAAATTTCTTATGGTTCAAATTTACGTGAATTATTGGTTATTTAATGTTATTAATGGTGATCATAGGCTTGTGTTACCCTCATTATCAATTAGTTAGAAATTCCAATATCATATACAGTAACTCCCATATGCTCCATGTATGGTATATTTACCTACAAAACTGGGTGATTTTGTTCGGGCAAATGTTGGTAAATATTCCATACATGGAGCATATGGGAAATCGTTCATGGTTCATGTTTACGTGAATTATTGGCTATTAATGTTGATTTATGCCATTAAACTAAAGGTGAAACTCATGATTATTCTTATGATGACCCTCTGATAAATTAAAAATGTTGATGACTGGGCATCGTGCGTTTATGGCATTGTTTTACACACATTAGTCATGTCTGTGGGAAGTTTAAGGGACCTCAGCAGCAACAATTTCTGGTTGGTGGTTTGGAACATTTGTTATTTTCCATTTCATATATGGGATGTCATCCTTCCCATTAACTTTCACTCCATCATTTTTCAGAGGGGTTGGTTGAAACCACCAGCCAGAAATGATATATTAATGATATATTAGTCCATGTATGGAATATCAATATCTATGGTATATCTATTGCTGGTTGGTGGTTTCAAAGATTTGGATTATTTTCCATCATATATTAGGGACGTCATCCTTCCCATTGACGAAATCATATTTCCCATATATTAATGATAAAACCAGGATGATATATTAAATCATATAGTCCATGTATGGAATAATTCTTTCCAGATGATCATTAATATATCATGAATATATCGTTAATGATCATTAATGATTGTTTCAAGATGATTAAAACCAGCAACCAGATTTCTTCTGTGGTTCCAATGGTTTCCCATGGTTGATCCTTTGATTCGCCATGGTGTAGATCATGTCATCTTCTCATCTAACCCAACTCATATGGTGTCGGAAAAAACCATGCTGTTGCCTTTTTTAAATGTTTTTGTTATAAAAAATCAGGTAAATGACAAATATCTATCTAAAATCATGACACTAATATCTATTGTGTCAGGTCCTAAAATGTTTTTTTTGATCAGGAAAACCATGACAAGATATGACCAGAAAGATGTTGCAATATGTTCCTGACAAGGTGGGACCTCAGTTGCAAGAGTTGCTTAAACCTCATGAATACTGACTACCATACAACAGTTGTTAACACTTAACTATAACTATAGTTATAATTAACTATAGAATCTATACTATAGACTAATACTAAACATAGTTATATTCCCCGTAAACATCTGTAAACCTAACAGTTGACCAAGGCAAATGTGCGTCACTGGCTCGCGTTTTCGCGTTTCCACGGGGTTGCTGCTGTGAGGCCTGCGATGTGTCACTGCTCATCAACGGCGGTCACTGGGATGGCGGTTTATGTGTCAGGCTGGTGATGTCCTAAGTCATAGTGGCACCTCTAGTTATCATCCATTTATAGATGGGACTTTCCATTAAACCATCCATCAAATCGACAAATCGCACCTGTTGTTCGAACCTATTTTCCATTTTAACCATCGAATCTTTCTGGATGGTTTATTTCATGGAACCTATTTTTCCGAAATGGGGGTAGCAGCATTTCGGAAGCCTCATTTCATGGTGGATGGATCATGGGGGTTAATCCCGGTGATTCCAAAGACCCCATGTTTTTTTTTGGGGAATCATCGGGAAAAACCGAAAATTTCAGGGGGAAATATGAGTGGTTGGTGCTTTGGAACCATGGAATTTTATGGCTTTCCATTCAGTTGGTTTAGTATGGTTTAATAATGGTTAATGAGATATGCTGGTTGGTGGTTTGGAACATGAATTTTATGACTTTCCATATATGGGGGATAAGTCATCATCCCAACTGACGAACTCACTCCATCATTTTTCAGAGGGGTTGGTGGTTCAACCACCAACCAGCCTATGTTTTAACCAATGATTAACCATCATTAACCACTATTAACCACTATTAACCATTATTAACCATTATTTACCATTATTAACAATTAACCATAATATTGTTTTAACCACATTAAGGATAATTTACTCAGATTCATTCTACTTGTCCTGACAAACCAAGGGATTGTGGCAAATGAATCCCATATTTCCCATGTTATACCATGTTATCCCAAATGCACACCTGGCGATTCAAGATATTCATTTTGGGGAAGCGTATGGTTTCAAGTACAGTATACACCACAACGGATCTCACCACTATATACATTCTCGTTAGCCAGCACTACAATGATGGCCATGAGAGAATCCTTTCCCCCTAATATTTCATACCAATGGTTGGGACTCCAAAATAAGTAGATTAGATCTAATACTAAACACCATGATTTTCCAGGGAGAATTTCCATGGTTGGGCCATGTTTTTGGTTGAGTGGTTCCCGTGGTTCCCACAGAAACCTCGCGCCGGCCGCGAGGTTTCTCACCTTTGAAAGGCTTCATGAAGAAAGCCGACTATGAGTCGGTCGTTGCTTGGACGCCGCGAACCCGGCGTCCACCCGATACAATGTACACAGTTCTATGACATTCTATGAGACTGTAATAACCTTTAATATGTGTATTTCTATTCATAGATGTCTATAGCTAGACGCTTGCGGAAAACACATAATGTTATATTATATTAATTTATTTTATTTTATATTATATTATAGTATATTATATTATATTATATTTATATTATATTGTATTATACTATAGTTATATGCTAGTTTTATGATATTGTATGGTATTATATGATATTATATGATATGATATTACTGTATGTTATATTACAATATAATAATATTATATATTATATATAATATATTATTGTATATCATGTTATATGATATTATATGATTTTAAATCATATTATATCGTATTATAGATTATAAATAATACATTGGATATATAATAACATTACCTCGTGATATATTCTGACATCCGCACATTCTATCTGACATCTATTCTGGCATTCTATCTGGCATCTAGTCTGGCATTGTTTGTGGTCGAGGTCCGACTGGGAACACTCTGCTCCTGAGCTTGCTGTTGGGGTCCGGCGAGGAACACTGCGATCTAGCGCTTGCAGTTGAAGTCCGGCGGGGATCACTCCGCTTCTGAACTTGCTGTTCGGGTCGCGCGGGGAACACTGCGATCTAGCGCTTGCAGTTGAGGTCCGGCGGGGATCAGTATGCTCCTGAGCGTGCTGTTCAGGTCCGGCGGGGAACACTGCGATCTAGCGAATGCAGTTGAGGTCCAATGGAGAAGGAGGAGGAGGAGACGGGACAGCTGACATAAAATCTAACAACCCTCACCTGACAGGTGGGGAACATCACATTCACACTGATTCGTTTGCAAGGCAATTTAGATCTATGGTTGCATTGTAGTTGTACACTGTTATACAATGGTATACACCTGTGTAGAAATTGTGTGAAATAAGTAAGCTTTTGTTGACACATGTATAGATCCTTTTTTTGCAAGCTTTGTTAGGATAGCGTCGGAGGAATACTGGCAAGGGCTTCTGCTGGACATGAATCCCACTTTTCGTGACAATTGGATTCGTTGGAGTCTCTGGGAAGCAAGTGCATATTTGAAGTTCTCCTCCTATGAATTCACCAGAAAATGGAGGGACCTCTCGGAGAACCAACGGTATATCTTCTACGATGTTCATGGGGCTGTTCAACATCTCCAAGACAGTGGATATGCAATAGATGACTTTATGTTACACATCTTTGAGAAGAATAATGGTCATCGGATGCATATGATTCAACGGAACAAAGCCTTTTTGTGGTTCCTCATTGCCTCTAATCAGAAACTGGTTCACAAGGATCTGTCTCTGCGGAACCAGAAAATGGTAGAAGACAATCTGTCAAAACATTATCCGTGCTCAAAAATCCCAGTGGGCTCCTCGTGCAGCATGGCACACCTCGTCCATGGATTGATTGAGATTTGCAGATGGCGCTTGCCATTTCCCTGGGTCCACACTGCAGCAATTGTGATTGTTGGCTCCGACACCCACGGCCACCTGCAAGAGATGGTAACGGTCCACCTGGGTATCCTCTACTCGGAGACCCACTGGGCCCTTTCTGTGCATCACAAAGATGCTGATCATATGATGATCTATGATGGCAACAATAACGAAGACATTGCTGCCAAGGCTCTCGAATGGTCCCAGCAATTTCCCTCCAACCAACAAAAGCCCTTGAAAAGAGCCACGGTGCAGAGCCAGTATGATGAGTGGAGTTGCGGACACAGACTTTTACTGGCCGCAGATCAAGTGTTGAAAGGAGAAAATTATTTGCCTCCAGAGAGCCTGGACAAAAGTGTTTTTTTCGCAGAAGATGCTCCAGTGGCTCCAGTATGTTCTCTACGAGTTGCGGCGTGAACCCGGAAGGGTCACCTTATGGTGCCACATGGGTTGGTGGTGAATATTGATGAGGTGGTGAATATTGGAAGTTTTTTTTTCCAATGGCCCAAAAAGAATATTCCAAATCGGTACCTCATCAATCATAACAATAAAAAATGATCATCATGAATATTGGAAGTGTTTTTTGTTCCTAGTTTCAGACAAATCCGTGGTGATTCAAAATGATCGGTAGATGAGGGGTGATATATCATCAACCACAAAACGCTTGTAGCAATATCTTTCACTGGATTGTTGATGGTTTATGGTGGAAGTCCTTTTAGCAATACCCGAAATTGTGGCACAATCCCCATGAACCAAGCGCGACAAAACCTAGCCATAAGCAACTATCCATCAATAATAAACTATATATCACAATTACATGATATTATATTGATATCATATTGATATCTCGGCATTGTGTTTCATCATACGTTTGGATTCGGATAAGTCTGTCCGCCAAGGTTTCGAACATGCGATTAGCATCGGGTCATTTGTTTGGATTGTGCCTCGGCCATCACGGGTTGTTGCTGGAAATGCTGGAAATGTGGGGAAATGTGGCACCCCTGGTCGGATAGGTTGATACCAATGGGGATAGAATGGTTGTATCATGTATACCCTCTGGTAAATAAACATAGACCCTGAAAATCACCAATTTTTAATGGAAACTAGTCTTCCAACCCCTATCTGCCAGGGTCTATGTTAATTTACCAGAGGGTAATGGGTATTACGCAGGAGGGTTCATGACCGTTTTCTTTTTGAAAAAAAATGATCAGGATCTGTTGTACAACGAAGGATGGTTGAGGGATAACTATCCCAAAATGACCTTACAATCTTACATTAGTTTGGTGAATTGCTATGATTTATCCATACCGTTTTTCATCATGGCCGTGGTATTTGTTTTTTTTCCCGGGGTAATGGCAACTCCAAATTCATAGATCTAAGAGTAAACCATGATTGCTGGGGTGTACGTTAAGATTACCCAACCTGGTAACTTGTTACACTTTGCGAACTGGAAAATGGCCCAGTCGAAATAGTTGGTATTTACTCAGCTACAAAATGGTGGATCTTTCCATATAAATCACCATTTCCCATGGTTTCCCATGGTTTTCCGATGGTTTTTCCCATCGTTTACCAGAGGGTAGGGATGATATCGCCAAGAACTCATCCCATCAATACATGGTCCATGTGGGGAAATTTCATGCTTGAGAACCATGGACCGTTCTTGTACCCTCTGGTTATTTAACAGTTTGCTATTGAAAATGGCCCAGTCGAAATAGTGGATTTTCCCATTAAACATGGTGATTTTCCACCATTTTTAATAGGTAAACCATCTATAAATGGGTCATTTTCAATAGCTATGTTAAATTACCAGAGGGTATGTGAAAACCAATGGATTGAGGAGTTTGCATCACCATTTTTTTGCGGGGGCAAGTACTTGGGTGTGGCCGTAGAAGCAGGGAATTTCGTTCAAGTTTGCATAAAAACTGTTATAACTGCCATAATTTGTCGATATGCTCCATGTCCAGTTCGTTCGTATCATTCTCGTTTGATCTTGTTGCGGTCATTGATATCACCTGTGTTGATGGAAATCCCAATTTGATGTATAAATTTGTAAATCTTCCCAGGTGGCTTCATCGAATGGCAGCTAAATCTTTGAATCACCAAATTGTCCAGGATTTTCCGATGTTTCCAATATCATACCCCATTAGAATCCCCGTTTTTTTTGACGGGAACCAAGCTGCCATCGCTTACCTGCCGCTTGACCAAGGCCCGTCGTTTTGGACGTGGCCGATGAGTCCTTGATACTCGGTTTCAACACGACGTGGAACCCTGCGATGTCAGTAGACATTGTGGTTTTTGTCATGGGAATCATCCCCAAATTGTAAAGTGTGATTACTTCACGTCCCAAATGAGAATCACTTGGTTTCGACCCCAAGTGGTCTGATTGCAGCTTTGTGAAGTATTGCCATTGATCCAGGTCTATGTCGACTGATTTGCTGTTGTATGTCTTAGCTATATACTTTTGCCGCGAGCAAATGGTGATGAACTAAGTCCCATCAATGCGAACCATGGTGCTGGAATATTTACCCAGCATTTGCCCGAACAAAATCACCCAGTTTTGTAGGTAAATATACCATACATGGAGCATATAGGAGTTACTGTATATGATATTGGAATCTCTAACTAATTGATAATGAGGGTAACACAAGCCTATGATCATGTGTTTTCCATTGAAGTGGCCAGTTGAATTCCACACCCCATTGGTGGCAACAGAACTCACATCCAATCAAAACTTCAAACTTCCGAGGAAGGGCAAGAAAGTTTTGCTGACCTATGCGGGTACAAACTTAGCTGCGCCTTGCTGCAGCTGCGTGCCGGGTTTGGACTTTGGGATGTGTTTGTTTTCGTTTATGTTTTGTTTATTATTATTATTTCCATCTGGTTATGACTAACATAGCCATTGATTATTTAACAGTTTGCCATGGAAAATCCCCATTTTTAAGAACGGTAAACCATCTATTTCTATGGGCCATCTATACCATGGCTATGTTAGTCATAACCAGAGGGTATTATTTAAAAGTTGTGCTATGGCCACATCGAAAAAAATAAGGCATATGAAAAAGATCGATTTGTTTTTGGAGTTTTTGCATAGTTGGATCGATGGACACTGGTGGGTTGATATTGGATTTGAAAAACATATTAAACAATTAAAACAAAACATTGGTTGTCCCATTATGTTTATACCATTATTCTCCCAAGATAAAACATTGGTTGTCCTATATTAAATCCAGTGGTTGTCCCATTATGATAATTTAACCATATAAAACCGTATGATATCGTCGGAGATCAAGTCGAACTTTGTGGGGTCTTGGTTTTGTGTGTAATCCATTGATCTCCATAAACTGATCCCATCATCGTTCCACCAATATCCGTGAACCATTTGTGAAAATCATATTAGTCGATTATAAACATACCATTTAATACCAACCAATCAACAATGATTGACAATGAGAATCAAACTATAAACCTACTATAGTTGGTGGTATTATAATTTGTGATTAATCCACAATACTTGTCATTCATAAACCATGTTAGACCATATTGGCGGTATTGCAATGGGGTATATCCCCAAATGGCCCCACACTTTGCACTCCACACTTTACACTCTATTGTGTGCTGGTATGGTACTGTTCACAAAAGTGTTCTACGTGACTGCATATCCATGTGTTTCGACATCTGTACCATTAACATACGTGTTTTTGCTTTCGGGTTCGTGGGCTGCATCTTGTTTTCCCCCCAAACAGCGTGCTCACTAGTACCTGGCCATGGATACGCCGTGGATACTACTGGCCACTGAAGAGCACACCTTTTTGAGGCAACTGAGAAGGCAACGACGTCGGGTTCGCCTGATGCCGATCCGGTGGTGCTGCAGACGCCAGGACGGACCCCAGATGGAACACTGTACACCCGCCACCTGCCGTGAACCTGGTAGGGCGTACGCTTTGCTGAGACCCGGTGATCTGGCGAAAAGCCATGGGTGATTGGATTGACAGTCACATCGAAACTTAGGTAGGGCGTAGGCCTTGCCGGCCAGATCCGGCCAGTTTAGTTGGAACAAATATACTCAGACGAAAGATTTGGGACATACCCTATGTTCAGACAAACCTATATCAATGGCCATTTCAGGAACCTAAATTGGAGGTACCTACCATATATAAGGCCTATATAAGGGCTATGTAAGGGGATATGCCCATTGACCTATGTTCAGACAAACCTATATCAATCACCATGTTTCATGTGTTTTTTTTCCATTAAGACCTGCTTGAATTCATCATGTTCATCTGTGTTTGTTGGTGAAGCTCCATCATGTAGCATAGAAAACCACTACATATAGCATTGCAAACAATCACTAATCAACACCGTTTATTCAAAAAAAAACATAAGGATGGTTGGTTTTCTGATGCCCCTCATTCTGTCCATAAATTTCTCACTAACATCATACAAGCCACCATTTATTGCCCATTAGTATTCATTAATTGTTGGTGAAATTCGATCATAAATCCACCCTTGTTAACCACTGTCAAACCATATAAACATGATAAACATGTATAAACCATATAAAACCACATAAACCATATAAAACAGTAGAACACTGGTACAAAACAAAACAAAAGATAACCAACTTATATAAAACAGTATGAATCCAATCCAGACATGTGAAAAATACAACAAGCTAAAACTGATATAACACCTATATCAAACCGTATAAAATACTTTTAAAACCATATAAAAACCATATAAAACCACATTATCATTAAAGCCATGTGTTCAGCACCTTTTTTGGTTCATTTCAACCGGTTCCTCCAAGTTTTGGTGTCCAACCGGTTTCGTTGGTTTCAGGTCCTGGAGGCTGAGGAGGTCTTCAAACCGGACAAGGTGAAGGAAGCCAAGGCACGAAAGAGTTGGAGAATCTCCAATGATGATCATGGTACCCTCTGGTAATTTAACTTGCTATTGAAAATGACCATTTATAGTGGATTTTCCCATAAACAATGGTGATTTTCCATAGCTATGTTAATTTACCAGAGGGTAATAATCATTCATCAAATTAATATTACCATGATCATCATTGGAGATTAAGACCACAAGAATGGCTATTCCAAACAATCAAAATGTTGATATCCAATGATCATCATTTTTGGTACAATCAACATGTTGATATTCCAAAAATGGCTGATATTAATATTACAATCAATGGTAATCATTGGAGATTAATATCATGTGATGGCAATCAACAATCAATTATTACATCCAATAATCAATGGTGATAATCATTCATCATACCAATCATTAGTAATATTGATCACCATTGATGATCAATCAATATGACTAACCATTTAATGATTTGCCTATTATGATGAATACTAGCCCTAATACCTATTACAATGATATACATTTACCATTCTAAGATTATCATGAAAATCATTACCATTGATCATATGGTGATTTAAATACTGATATATATATATGATATACATAGTTGGATTCATATCGGATCATGATTAGTATATAATTTGGATACCCACTTGCCGCTAAAGGTCTGGAAGAGCAAACCATTACCAAACCCCATGGTTTGTGGTGAAGGGTGGCTGAAACGGTTGGCTGGGATTATACATCCATATCCACTAAGGGGACAATATCATACTTTGATCCATAAATCATGCCGATACTATTCAGGTCTTGTTTGTTCCGGGAAGCTCTCATGAAACGGGGATTTGGACATAAATGGTGGCAAGTCTTCCAACACAAAATCAGATGAATGGGATCGTCACTATCACGTGAATGCAATTCTTCCCACCCAGTATCATCCCACTCAAACACATGTATACTTGTGAAATCTATCTAAACCATTCAGTATCACATTGAAACCCATTTAACCATTTATCCGTGGTTTTGGTCCGGTTTAATAATAACCGAGGTATGGTTGGTTTCATAACTATTTTTTGTTTGTGGAAATCCGTTTATAATCAATCTCACTCAGTAACAGCCACATGTTTATCATTGAAATCCCAAGTTTCACTGGACAAATCAAATGGTGTTGATGCTATAATCTACACTCAAACTCTCAAATATCATATACCCTCTGGTAAACTAACAGTTTGCTATGGAAAATCACCATTTTTCATGGGGAAATCAACTATTAATGGCCATTTTCAGATTTCAATAGCTATGTTAGTTCACCAGAGGGTAAGTATCTTATAACTATCCACATCAATATCCATCTAAAACCAAAGAAAACCTCCAGCCATAGATGTCCCAAAAATTCCCATTGCTTGCTTGAGGAAAAAATCAGGGGGGTTCTTCAGAAAATCCGTTGACAACAGGTGATGATAGATGGGATTAACCAGTCACCGGCCCATATTTTTACCAATTTGGGACATGAAATTGTTCCATTGGTATTAATCAACACTGTCATACTATGAATCATGAAGGCATAATGGTGATATTATGTATCTAATCTAATTTCACCAGGACAGTTGGTCTAGATGACATCACCATTAAACCATATGTCCATAATATCAGATACATAATGTCACCATGTTATTTTCACCATATCTATCTATAATAATGGTAATACTTAGTAAGTGAGTTCTATTATATCCCCAGTTGTAAGTGGACATAGGCCTGAAAAATAGGCCTTATATATGGTAGGTACCTCCAATCAATCGGTTCCTGAAATGGCCATTGAACAATGGATAACCAACCGCTAATAGAATAACATCACCATTGTTTAATCTTATTTTCACTATATCTATCTATAATCATGGTTAAATCTATATGTATATATATATATATACATGTTTAAAATAACTCACCACCTTATATACACATAATCATGGTTATCTATATATATATATACATATATATATACACTATATATATACATATGTATATTTTTTCACTATATCCAATGAAAACGGGGGCTCCCAAAACGTCGTCGCTTCGTCGGGGCGAGGCGAGTTATGGCACCACCTCCACGGAGCATCCCTCGGTGGCGGAGCTCTTCTCGGAGCTGGGGAAGTTCTACCTGGGAGGCGCCGAAACGCGAAACGCGACACGTCGCACCCCGGAGCGGTTGCGAAACGTGGATGGAGAGATATTACTACCCGGTTTTTGTTGATGTTTTTGGATTAAAATGTAGTAATACCCTTGGTAATTAAATTAAATTAACCTCCCGGTTTATCCTGGTTTTTGGATTTTTTGGATGGATGTTTAAATGGCTGTGTTTGGATGAGATAAAGACAAAAGCCTGGTTTTTTGGATGTTTAAATGGCAGAGATGGAAAAAAACATGGTTTTTGGATGGATGTCTTTGTTGTTTTTTGTTTGGATGTCGCATATGTCGAATCTCGGGACATATGTCGAATGATGGGATCCAATAATGACATGGATAGATTCATATGGATAAAAGAACGACCATAGATTTGTTTGGATATCCGATATTGAAATTGTAATGGATTCATAATAATATGTGAAATTGAATATTTATATATAGATATACATATATATATATATTTACATATACATATATATATATATATATAAGCAGCCATTGTTCAATGGCCATTTCAGGAACCTAAATTGGAGACTATTGGAGGTACCTACCATATATAAGGCCTATGTAAGGCCTATGTAAGGGAATATCCCCAAAAAATATGGCCTTATATGGTACAGTACCTCCATTTTAGGATCCTGGAATTCCCATTGAATTGTGATGTTATATGTTTTGATAAATACAAAATAATATGCACATTGCCGCTATACAATGACATATGATATTATATATATAATGATGTGCATACATAATGACAGACACATATATATATATATGAATTATATGTAGATCGATCTACTTATCGACCTATCTATCTATCCATCCATCCATTCATCCCTGTAATGTGCATATACATAATGCCTGGTAAATTAACTGCTTGCTATGGACAACCATCAGCTTGTTTGTAGTTAGATTATCAAACTGAATGGGCCATGGTTTCCAACGCAAACTGTGAAATTCCTCAGGGTATGCATTTTTCACATGCATGATGACACATATGCATCTCAATCCATAGCTATATTGGTGTATACATGCAATGGTATGTGTGTGTACAAAAAAATATATATAATACCTCCTTGGTTTTTGGGACCTTATGGTGACATTGTGTTTTTATCAACAAATTATCGTGGCTATAAACAATCCAAGGTGGCTATGTCAGCAGCAGAAAATTCAATGCCAATGGACACTTTATGGTGGATGATAGTAGGATGGTGGTGGATTTCATATGTTTCATGCAGGATTGTGGAACAAGTAATGTGTATATATGTTTTTTGTTTACTCCACATGAATAGTTTTTAAGAAAATTTGATAGACATTAATGTCAAATAGTGTATAAATTTTGAGAGAGATATGTTTATGACATTAAATGATCACTCATGTATATATGGAAATATCACATGATTTTTGCGTACAGTCCTTCGGGTAGTACTCGCTCGGGCAACAGCTGCTGAAGGTAACCTCAGTGGGAATGTCAAGACCCTAAACTGGAAGTGCTGCAACATAGAAGGACTTTTTTTTGAGGTCTTAATTGCATGGACCATGTATATATATATACATATATATATATATGGTAGGTACATCCAATTTATTCAAATTTGATTTTTTTCCCATCCTGAAAATAGGACGGCAGCTTGTTATTTCTCGTACTATTAGTGATGACAATCAACAGCGGCGAAAATCATGATGGAACCGAGAACAATTGGAGGTACCTACCATATATATGGTCTATGTAAGGGCTAATTTTCAAGGAAAATGACCCTCTGGTTATTTAACATGGCCACAGAAAATGGCCCATAGAAATAGATGGTTTACCTAGCTATAAAATGGTGGATCTTTCCAGTTCGCTAACTGTTAGTTAAATAACCAAATGGTATAACCTCCATTTTCCTATGGTTTTCCTATGGTTTTCCCAGCTATAAACCTCCATTTTCCTATGGGTTAAATAATGGAGGCAGCTCCATGGCTAAGGGCTACAGTAGCTCCAGTGGATGGTCCCTCAATGGCATTCTTTTGTGGTTGGTGAAAATGAAGAATCACCGGATGAGAATGTTCAATGGGAGATCTCCCGGATCCAACAGATGGAGGTAGGTAAACGTACCATATAAGACAATGTTTTGTGGGTACATAGGCCTTAAAAAAAGGCCTTATGTATGGTAGGTACCTCCAATTTAGGTTCCTGGAATGGCCATTGAAATGTATGTTTCTCAATGATAAACGGATGTAAGTCACCATGAGTGGTCAGTTTGCCACCGTCATCATTGGAGTTAAACACACATAGTTGATAGCTATGGATTGTATCTCACTGTATCACCATGATATTTCCATTACATCCCCATCATATCCCCATCCATATCCAATATCTCTTTTAAATATCCCATTTTTATCCCATGTTAAACCACAAAAAATGGTCATGTGTTTCCATTATTTCTCCAAATATTTCCGGGAAATTTCACCACGATGAGATTTCCATTATCACCACTTTTTGTTATCCCATTATACCTGGATATATCACCATGGAAATTTTCCATTATCCCATCTACTATCCCACTATTATCCCATGATATCATATTAAACACGGTGATTTTCCATGGCACACTGTTAGTCATAACCAGAGGGTAATAGATATCCGCTACTCATATCTTATCCCACTATTATCCCACTATTATCCCACTATTTTCCCACTATTAACCATCATTATCCACCATTATCCATTAAAAAAGGCCATTTTCCATGGCTATGTTAAATAACCAGAAGGTAAACCTCCATTTTCCTATGGTTTTCCTATGGTTTTACCCATTAACCTCCACTTTCCCATGGTTTTCCTATGATTTCCATGACATCCCCATTTTTTTCCAGGCAAACTGCATGGCCTGACGACGGGCTTCGACGCGGTGTGGGGCAAGGGCTTCAACACCCCGGCGCAGGTTTTCCGGATGGCGGTGATGTGGTGAACCTCAATTCGAAAAACAGAACATATCTGGTTAATAGTGGGTTAATGGAATTACATAGGTGATTATAGGTTAATAGTGGTGATTATAGGTTAATATCTGGTTAATAGTGGTTAATATTTACATATTATTATTATTAACAACTATTAACAGAAAATGGTTAACCATGGGATAATTATAGGGATAATGGTGGTTGGAGAATGGTGGTTAATAGTGGTTAATAATGGTTTTTATAGATTTACTATGGTTTTAGTTCTTGGTTTTATATGGTTTTATATGGGATTAATATGGTTGTATATGGATACTAATGGGATAATTATAGGGATTTATATGGTTTAATATGGATTAATATACCATTGGTGAACAATGATCATCTAGTGCTGAATGAGATATGGCCTTTTTTAATGGATATGATAGTGATATAGTGGTTAATAATGGTTAATGAGATATCGTATGATAATGGGACAATCAGGAAAATTGGGCTGATTTTAATGGTTAATAATGGTTAATAATGGTGGATAATGGTGGTTAATAATGGTTAATGAGATAAGGTTGGTGGTACTAGGCAGCCAGAAGGATTTCCAGAAGGGGTCTTCCAGTTTCCAGAAAATGCTCGAGTGGAGATGTTTGTTGGTGCTTCAGCGCGTTTTACTTTGAAGATGTGGGTATGAGTATGAGTCAAAAAAGACTCATTTCACCTGTTGTGCCATGTCAAATTTGGGTGACTCTTTCAAAATCCAGTCGATCCTTTCCTGTGCATGAAAGACACCCATGGTTGGTGGTTTCAAACATTTGGATGATTTTTCCATATATTGGGAAGAATAATCCCAACTGACTTTCATATTTTTCAGAGGGATAGGTATACCACCAACCAGATATGGATTTTTAGGGTGTATCATATTCAAGTATGAATGTTGAAGTACTTAGATGGATTATAATATAGTATAATATGTTCGAAAAAACAAACACGTATTTATAAGTACTTAGAGTTGGTGAACCAGTTCGTAAATGGATATTTTATTGATTTTGAGATGTTGATATTGAAGTACTTAGATGGATTATAATATAGTATAATATATATATATATATTGGAAAAAAAAAACATATTTAAGTACTTAGAGTTGGTGAACCAGTTCGTAACTGGATATTTTTATTAATTTTGATATGTTGATATTGAATGATATTGCAGTACTTAGATGGATTATTACATAATAAATAAGGGGTTTACCATATTTGTTTTGGGGTTGGGAAGTTGGGTACTTAGATCTTAGGCGATGGAGTTGGTAAACCAGTATCACTAGTTCCATGCCCCATTGTTTAATTAACAAACACTATTAAGTATGGTCCGTGTATATATAATATATATATACATGATTTCATCCCGTCCTAATCCATGGTTTCATGTGGGGTTGTTATTCATTTGGGTGAAGAGTAAATAGATGGATAGGAATTTGCTCGACGCAAATTGACATCCATGTAGCTATATCTCGGACCTACCTAAGAAATGAAGCATCTGGATGTTATTGGAGGTGAGTTAGCAGCGGTACCCAGCGAGCAGCGCCCCGCCAATAGTGTCGTAGGCCAGCATGTTGCTATCATCATCCTCCAGATGAGAATGCAGGATGCTGAAACATGGGCAGCGTACACGGCCACGCTTGACACACTACAGCTCTCAAATGACATGTTTCGAGAGTACATACTCCACGTGAACGGCTTGAACTTGCAAACTCCGTGCAACTTCAGTTTCGGCGAAGAATTTATGAGCTACGCTGACAATCAGCTCCTGGCTCAACTCAAGATGGAACAGATTAGCTACACGGACTCGTCCGTAATTCATGTAGCCAAAGTCAGCATCCCACAGAGTTGTGATAGCATTGCACAATTCCTTTCTGCTACCTAGCCGCCACCTTCAAACGGCTCATACAATGACGATTTTATGCAGCTGAGTGCTTAAAAAGAATACACAGAAAAATAGAGAGCATTGTAGTGGTGTGGTACCAATTGCACTAAGGACAGCAACCTAGCCAGCAGGACAGATCTTCCCATCAGCTTAGCTTTTAAGAAGTGCAGGAAAATGCAAGATCAGATTCTTGATATTAAGAGAGCTCAATCATTGCCAATTCCACATAGAATACTACATACAATTTACAATAAATAGTGTGTACTGTACAGTTTCTATGTGTGTTTGAAGGCTTCCACAACATGTGTTTACCCATTTATTTTGTTCAGTACGTCAATTTTTTTGCTACAAAAAAGGGATATTATACTAACCACCTGAAGGAGATAAGTTGAGGAAACCAGGGTACTCATATCTAAACTTTACCACTTGTACATGCCAAGTCAATTTAAACATTACAAATACACTTTTTATCTTCCATCCATTTATCAGTTTCATGTCTCACCTGCCACCATATGTTTAATTTGATTTACATACCAACCAACTCATTCATCTCCATCATATGCCATACATACTATACATAGATTATATATATATACTGGTTGGTGCTTTGGAACATTAATTTTATTTGCCATAATATATGGGTTTTCATCCTTCCCATTGACGAACTCCATCATTTTTCAGAGGGGTTGGTTGAAACCACCAACCAGTATATATATATATATATTAAGACATATATTCTATACTATAGAAATGCTACAAACATATACTATTGATCTACATCGCCAGGTACCCATAATAAGATCATTTAACGACGTTTTCTCCAGGTGCGCGCCTCGCTGCCGAAGGGCAAACAGGTGGTGGCCTTCCAGAACCGAAATCCGGTGCACAAGGCGCACTTCGAGCTGCTGGCGCCTTGGATTCGACGGGCTCGGATCGACGTGGCGATGAGGAGATGGGGGTTAGTATGTACCCTCTGGTTATTTAACATAGCCATGGAAAATGGCCCATTTATAGATGGTTTACCTATTGAAAATGGTGATTTTCCATAGTTATGTTAGTTTACCAGAGGGTAGTTAGTTATAGATGGGTAGTAGAAAAATGGAATTATAAAGACAAGAGTTGGTATATATGATTACAACTATATAGTTTTATACAGAGATATAGTATGACTAATGGTTATTATATAACTGGGTAATATAATGGAATAGTATAGGAAATCATCAAAAATCTATAGGTGACCTTCTCACTTGTGTTTACCCCCTGATCATCTAACATGTGGCAATGTGGCCAGTTGAAAAAATAACCTAGACTCTAGAAATGGAGTTTTTTAAATAGGAAAGACATCCAGAAATGATGAATTCTCCATTGCCATCTTTCAGTACCGGATGTACCGGATGGTATTATTGGTTCAAGATACTTGTTAATTTCTTGCTGGTTATCGCGTTAGTATATTTGTATATATTGATTATAAAGACTGCAGTTGGTATATACTCCAATTGCAGTTATATATATAAATGGATTTTAGTGGTTCTGTGGTGGGTATATTTCTCATAGCCAAGTTGTTTGTACCATATCAATGTATTTATTAATCGTCATTCATGAGGATTATAATGCCTGTTGGATTCGAATAGCAATCAGCATATCACTTCAATGTGCATTCCAGTTGTATAACAGGGCAGACCTCATCTACAACTGAGTGGGGTATACTATGGTTATATACAATATATATATATGTGGTTTTTGCGACATGCGACACCTTTTTTGCTGGACCTCTGGATTTTTGGTTAAATGACTCGGAGAAATAGATATTCTACATGATCTTAGCTGTTTCGTCACTCGCGTGCTGGCACTCAGCACTCGCGTGCCAGCACTCGCGTGCTCAGCACTCACTCCAATGCATTTTTCCCGGTGTGCATCCTAGTAGATATGTTTATCTTGATTTAGATAGTGGATGCTTTTATTGGAATAGGAAAAATGCATTGGAGTGACGATAAGCATGAGATATCATGAGATACTCATCACATTCATGAGAGCCTCCGAGTACCTCCAAGTGGCGTTGATTTTTTCAACACCCTGAAAGAATGTACCCTTTTGGAGGAAACGGGGAAACCTAGATGCTTTTTTGGGGAAGCGCAAAATGCATCCGGACGTCAGGCAGATATTCGCACGTGACCGGTTGCTTTTTTCACAGAAAAGTAAATGCACCGAGGTATGAAAAAACCCAATGCGTTTCGAACTTGCGATGTACTAGCCCTAAAGAGGGTAGTGTTTATCCATTGTCGATCGCTTAGTTTGCCATTTATAGTAACTCACTTGCACGGTCAACGCACAAGTTTTTACACGTGCGCTGGATTCTTGGGGATTATGAACTACCCAACTGGGTAATCAAACACGGCCACTGAAAATCAAACATGGCAAGTTTAAATCCGCCAGGAAAATTGGTTCTGGTTGGTGGTGACTGGAACCATGGAATGGATGGAATGACTTTCCCACCATTAATTGGGAATGGAAAATCACCCCAACTGACTTTCACTCCATCATTTTTCAGAGGGGTAGGTATACGACCAACCAGATTATTATTAACCATCATTAACCATATAATAACCATTAATATGAACCATTCATATTAACAGTATATTACCAACCAATAGTAGGTAGGTTGAAACCACCAACCAGAGTTCAATGTTTCTTCTCATTCAAAGCTCCATTTTGATCGGGGATTTCCCTTTACGTTTGAGGTATCACCATTCATATCCCATGATTTTTTTGATTAGAGCATATAAAATCATATAAAACTTTGATTAAACCATATAAAACCATATAAAAACCATATAAAACCAGATAAAACCATATAAAACCATATAAAACCATCTAAAACCAGATAAACCCATCTTCTCCCCAATATATGACCATTTCCTGGGGATTTCCGGTACCCTCTCCATCGGTGTTTCGTTCAACGGTGCACGCCCGAGGTGCACGCCAACAAGGACGTGGAGAACAGCATCATCCTGGTGCATCCCACCTGTGGTCCCACGCAGCCGGGGGACATCGATGGTGCCACACGTTTCTCGTGACGATATGATGACGTGGCGAGACGGTAGGCTACAGCAAAACTATGGTGGTTAATGGTGGTTAATGATGGTTAATAATGGTTAATGAGATATAAGGTTAATATATGGTTAATATATGGTCATTAATCATGAAAATGGGTGAATATAATGTAATATAATACTGGTTGGTGGTGACTGGAACAGCCATGATGGTGGTTAATAGTGGTTAATAATGGTTAATGAGATAATCTGGTTGGTGGTGACTGGAACCATGGAATGGATGGAATGACTTTCCCATCATGAATTGGGAATGGAAAATCATCCCAACTGACGAACTCACTCCATCATTTTTCAGAGGGGTTGAAACCACCAACCAGTATATGTTTTTCATTGAATATATACTTTCACTAATCTTACATGGATACAAACTAATCCTAACTAATCTTTTGGTATGAAAATGGGAATATCTACGTTTACCAGCAAAGAATTTTAGGTTTTTGTTGCAGGGGTCCTCTGGCTGATTGGCAATGACATGGTGCAGTCTGGGCTATCCCATCCGGCGGGCTATCCATATATCCAACAGATTCCAATAGAAAGTGGTGCCCCAAAAAAACGTGATAAGTTGGTAAATAAAACGCCATTAAGTATGGATATATCATGAGATATCATGATATATCTACTACAAGGCCAAATGAAATAAGTTGCATTAGTTATGAACCAACTTAGCTTGTCCACCTGTGACTGGATGTTTTGAAGTGTATTGCATCGTCTAACATGGTGATTTAATCAGATGTTTGGATACAACATAGCGACACACTTAGTTTTTGAGAGTTTTAGGAGGTTAGATTGATTGTAGATTTACCATTTATCCCAATAAAAGGCGAAACCTTTAGCAACGAAGCAACAAACAACCAAAGTTGGTAGGTGCCATTTATAGCATGAAACACATGGGTAATTTTACCGCCACATATGCAGTAGGTGTTGGTGCTAAGATATGATAATATGTTTTAACCACAAAAACTGGATTTCATTGGGTATATACCCTTTGGTTATTTAACGTAACTATGGAAATATGGAAAATGGCCCATTGATAGGGGATTTATGAGGATTTACCGTTTTTTAAGATGGTGATTTCCCAGTTCGCTATGTTAAATAAGCAGAGGGTAATCACTACTGTTTGCTGGTTGGTTGGTTGGAAAATCACCTCTGGTTTAATTCGAAAATCAGCTATCAATCGACTGGGCCATGGCTTCAATAGCAAACTGTAAACGTTTACCAGGCCGGGTATATCCACTGATCTGTCCTTTTCCATTGCTTTCCAACCGGCATTCCCCGTTGGATCGACTGTGAGCCCTTGCTGTGGAGAGTCTGAGGTATCAAGACCTATGAGGTTTTGCAAGAAGAGCCAGAGTACAAGAGACTCGGATTACAACTTTCATTCCCAGATGCTCCATGGTGCTGGTATATTTACCTACAAAGCTGGGTGATTTGTAGGGCAAATGTTGGTAAATATTCCATACATGGAGCATATGGGATTGGACCACGAGATGAATAAATCCCCACTTTGATGTCCTATCAAAGCATATCTGTTGGTGGTGACTGGAACATGTTTTATGACTTTCCCATCATATTGGGAATGGAAAATCATCCCAACTGACTTTAACTCCATCATTTTTCAGAGGGGTTGGTATACCACCAAGCAGCCATAATTAACCAGTGATTAACCATACGTATAATAACCATTAATATGAACCATTCATATTAACAGTATATTACCAACCAATAGTAGGTAGGTTGAAACCACCAACCAGATATAAAAACAACATCAATGGGGATATCAATGGGGATATCAAGGGGGATGCACTGGGATGTACACATAAAAAAGTGGGCTTGTGGAAAAAACTTGGGCGTTTTGCCCCCAAAAATCATCAATTTTCATGGGATTTACCGATTTACCATTATAAATTATGCATTTTGGGATACCCCCACTGTAGGAAAGCTCCAAACTTGGGCGCACGGGACCTGGACTTTGCTGTTTTCCCCACATTTTATTATAAAAAACTTCGGACCTCGGGCGAATGAAACCACATGTTACTAATGGTCACTAAAGTAAGTGGTCAATGAGTCATTGAGTCATGTCCATTGACAAAATGTAACATAGATGTTACCATGTTACCCCGCATATGAATTGGGTGAGTTGGCTGTGGGGTTGATGTCACACAGTTATGGCAATTTACCAGTTATAACTACTAACAAAACCCCATTTATAGAATGTATTTCATCCCAGTTATAACCAGTTATAACTAATAGATGGTCATCACTGCAGCCGTCGAAGAGGAAGTGGGCGGGCGAGAACTTCCGCTGGTCCTACCTCCCTTATTCCATGAAGATGGCTGGGCCGAGGGAGGCCATTCAGCACATGTCGCTCAGATGGATCAGAAAAAATATGTGAATTCATGGGGAAAAAAGGGGAAAACCACGAATCTATGTCAGTTTACCCTAGAGTAATCATCAGATTTCATGATGTGCATGTTTTTTTTTGCGTATATTTTCTGGGGAAATTTCTAGGTTAATCCTAGATGGATACAAACTAATCCTAACTAGTCTTTTGGTATGAAAATGGGAATATCTACGTTCACCAGCAAAGAATTTGAGTCTTTTTTTGCAGGGGCCCTGTGGTTGATTGGCAATGATTTGAACAAAACCCATGGGAATTGAGGGATTGAAGCAACAAATACAGATATGTGGCTGGGATTCCAATGGGAAAATTCACTATAAATGGGCCATTTTCCATAGCTATGTTAAATTACCAGAGAGTAACGCCAATATGTGGGAGTATGGTAGCCATAGATCAGGACATGTTTTTTTTTGTCCAAAGAAGGCTTCAAGGGGTTGTAAAACCAGCCACGATGGGCATGTAATGCAGAAAATTTAGGATAGAACCAAGACATAAGACAAGAATCTACCCCACAAAATGGGTATGTCCGAAAATTGGGTTTTAGATGGGAACATGATAGTAAACTACTAGAGTTGGGGATACCCTACTCTTAAGCGACCGAAGCATGTCAATGGAACCGCCCTTTCTTTTGATAGAGACGTGAGTTATAAACTTTTTGCACAGGTAGTCACACTGATGGATAACAGTTCATCATTGGTTATCCAATGTTTATTGCGATCTTGCAACTATGGTTGCCCTGAAAGACGTTTTAACATGTAATTGGTATCCGGGTATCCCCCCTGCTACTAGACTTGTGGGAAATCCTTGGCAGCCTGCAGATGTTCACAACATACAATATGCTATGTGTATATAGATATATTAATGTATTACCGTATACTAGATATTGATATTTACATACAGTATATACATATATATATATATAGGTTATTATATTTGCATATGTTGCTTACGTATATATATATATATATAATTCTATTGTTTTTACACACACTTCTTGCTGCTCCGCTCCTTCCCAGCAGTTACTTCTCGGGTCCACGATCGAAATTTCTCGTTGGAACGAGCCGCAAAGCGAGGATCATCCGGAAGAACTTCGGTGCCACCCACTTCATCATCGGCCGCGATATGGCGGGCACGAGCCTCGAACGAAAGTAGCGGAAGGGTTTAACGAATGGCTTCTCCAAAAGGGAGGCTATATTTCTTTTTTAAAGAAAATTATATTATAGATTACATTGATTGGAGATTCAACATTTATGGGATGTAATATATAATTGTATATGTATATATATATATATTTATATATACAATATGTATATTGGTATATGGATTGTTGTTCTAACGGTGTCATATGTGTTTTGTTGCTTCATATGGTTGATGCCAAGAAATATGGTTTGCCCAACTGTTGGTTGGTGTTTGCCACATTGACAAATATCGGATACGGATATACTGGGATTTACCACCTAAACGTGTCCAATAATCATAAAGAGCCACACTTGGAGATATCCAATACGAGGTGGTGCCCCCAGTTTTAAGTTGGTGTATAATCATCCTTACTTGTGGGCTGGTTGGTGGTTTGGAACATTTGGATTATTTTCCCATATATTGGGAATGTCATCATCCCAACTGACGAACTCCATCATTTTTCAGAGGGATAGGTATACCACCAACCAGTCATTCAACCACCCAAACTTCCAATCTTGGCTATGTTCTAATGAATGGATGTTTATACCCTTTGGTAAACATCATTAATTGATATTAATTGTGGGTATATCTACAATAAGCCTGAGTTTTGTTACTTAAGGGCAAACTTAGCCGACTATAAGCACCACCTGATACCAATTGGTGCCATGTATAGTTGGACAAAAAAAACCGGGCCATCAAAACATATCAAAAAAAAAAAAAACACGCATATTAATTGGTTATACCCAAGCAGTGGCTGCCAAACCTCTGCTGTTTGGTTGTGAAATGCGGAGTTATACTATCCAATATATGTGGAATTAGTCTGACCCATGGAACGATATGGATAGATTTGGTGCGATTTAAAGATCGTGATTTTATCATCATGGGTTGTGGGCAGAAATTTAGGATAGATTTTATATGATGGTTGGTTGAATCTGTGGATTTTTCTGGATGATAAAAAAACACCTGGTTTTAGTTTTTTTTGGATATGACTACAAGACATGGGAATTCGTCGTGGGATAACAGGCATATTACGTAGATATGATCACTAAAAAGATTAATTCTGCGGGATATAGATGCATATATATATAGCGAAAGCCTGACACGGGAAACAAGGACGCGAACTTCCCATATCCATGGGTCAAAGATTTGTTGCCAAGGACGCCTGCTTCCCAAGAATGGTCTGAGCACCATGCAGCAGCTTCTTCACATACTTTCACTGCACCAATGGCACCCCCTCGAATGTTTCAGACACAGAAGCGTTCTGCGGCAGCTCAAGATGTACCCATGGGGTCGGCAAATGACGTACCCATCGGATCGGACCACCATGCGAAGGCACGGATGACCTATGCTCCACCAGCACCTCGATAAATCAATGTATGGGGCGAAACAATTTGTCCGCGGCTCTTAGAAGTCTCAAGTTTGTTGGTTTGCAAACTGGGATATCACCAACTGATGTTTGGTCTATAACATTAATGTTAATAAAGTGGTTAAAACAGTAATAAACCATCCCCCAAATCACCATAAATAGGTGGTATGAACCATCAAACATGGGGTGATTTATTATTGGTTTACCCTTATTAAGCCATGTATGTTTTCAAGATACGAAGCGTAAGGTAATTCAGTGCAGGCCATAGCAATCTCCTCCAGGCCGGCAACTTGCTGAACTTCCAGGATTTTCTTGGGATTTTATTGGGACATTTGACAGGAACCTGTATGAAATGGTGGATAATGGTGGTTAATAGTGGTTAATAGTGGTTAATAGTGGTTAATAGTGGTCAATAGTGGTTAATAATGGTTAATGAGATAATCTGGTTGGTGGTTTGGAACATGTCTTTTTCCCATATATTGGGAATGTCACCATCCCAACTGACGAACTCATATTTTTCAGAGGGGTAATTATACCACCAACCAGCATAAAGTTTCTTCAAAGTTGAGGTTTCCTAAAAAAACATTCCCTTTATCCAATTTGGGGATGGATAAGCTCAATAGCCGCTATGACTATTGCAGGTGATTTGGCATGGGTGGAAAGTACAACCAGATACCATTCATAATGCATACATATTTGTTTTTATATATACATATGTATGTATGTATATATTATATGATATATACATGTCTATTTATATGTGTGTAATATGTCATATATATATATGATGTGTATATGTATATGTATATATATATATATATACATAGATATTGATGGTTTTCTTTTTGAGCATCCCCGCTGCATGCCCAGGAAAAGTACCCTGACCAGCGAGGACTTCTATGGAGCCTATGAGGAGGGGTTTTCTGGTGAAAACCTCGGTTATGTCAAAATAGCTATTGAAAATTGGCCATTGAAATAGTTGATTCTGTTGATTTACGTCTTCAAACTGGTGGATTTTCTATGGTTATGTTAAGTTTTGTGTATGTTTACCAGAGAGTTTTTTGGGGATTATGGAATGGGCATTTTCACAATCCATGGGGGAATTCCGAAAAACCAAGGGCACCATCCGGTCAAACGTGGCAGAAATCCATCGATAGCCTCTGGTTATGGCTGACAGTTTGCCACGGGAAATGGCCCATAGGAATAGATGGCTTACCGTTCTTAAACATGGTGGATCTTTCCATGGCAAACTGTTAGTCATAATCAGATGGTAGATCATTTTGCCAGCAACAAGGGCACCTCCAAGGGATGTTCCACACGTTTGCCACGGGGTCCCTTCTGGTCATACAAAAAACGAACTGGAAAGATCCACCATGCTATAAATAGGTAAACCATCTATTTCTATGGGCCATTTTCCATAGCTATGTTGGTTTGCCAGGTGGTATTTTTTTTTTTGTGGGGGTCTAAGCTTGACCCATCTCGACCTGGGTCAATTTTTTTGGGGAACCTATCGACATATCCAGGAAAAAATTGCAACATGTGGGAGTAAATGGCATAGGAAGTGGGGAACCACCGCTAATTTGGAGGAGATGTAGTTTTGCCTGTAGGAAATGACACGTTTCAAGAAAGGAACATCAATCATGATACCCTCTGGTAAACTAACAGTTTGCTATTGAAAATGACCATTTATAGTTGATTTACCCATTAAAAATAATGATTTTCCATAGTTTTTGTATGTTTACCAAGCCGGGTAAATTGGAAGCTTAAAACCAGCCATGGTAAATCGAGATTCCCAGATTTGGCCACAACACATTCGGATAAGTTGACCAGTGCAAATTGGTCACTTCAGATATTGAGTACCCTCTGGTAATTTAACATAGCTATTGAAAATCACAATTTATAGTGGATTTTCCCATGAAAAATGGTGATTTTCCATAGCTATGTTAAATTACCAGAGGGTAACCACATTGGAGATTAACATTTGAAACTGGGGATCGCACCATCAGACATTATGATGTTTCTTGGGTGCACTGACTAGGGAAAGGAAGATGAATGTGTGATTTTTGTGCTTATAAACGATGGAATATGTGATACAATGTGGTGCCCCACAGTTAGCGAAGTTTGTTTCTACCAAGATATCGCCGCAATTAATGGGTTTATAAAGCAACAAACATAACTAGGGTTGACACTGCCTTGTACCCAGCTCGGCAAGATTTTTTTCTGAGTATTTGCCACAAACCATTACATGAAAGGATTATCATACCCTAATTATCAATGGTTTATGCAGCCAATATCCAATGTGGTTGGATTTCTTTATGGTGATTGCTGCAGACCATATCCTGAAAAACCTCACAGAGATTTAGCATTGCAAAATGGTCTGGAAAATTATCTATTGTTTGACAACTGTTTTACAATATTGTCTTAGTATTTTATGCAAAAGTATGGGGTTGTCAAACAATACATAATAATAAATATTAATTATGTTATGTTTGACAACTGTTTGACAACCATATTTTTCCATTAGTATTTCTACTTCCACTGTTCCTTCCTACTTTTATTCTGATTATATCCTCATCCAACGCCATTCACAACCCAAAAAAAGATCAATATACGATTAATATATTAAATTCCCTGCTATTGTTCCTTATATTCCCATATATATATATATATTCAACTATTATTATTATTGGTATTATTATTTTTATTATTATTATTATCTATTCATATTATTTGATAATATGTATATGAATAATATATATATGTAACATTCATTAGATGCCCCCATTTTATGAAACAAAAAACATGTTGAAAGCAAATCATCTCCTTAGAACCCCATTAGAACTCACATTTTTTCAATTACCCATGATTTTCATTGAATTCATATCCATTGGTATGAAAAATTGATTGATATATTTACTACATGAGTAAAAAATCATTTATTTACTATAATGAATCACTATGTCCACTCATTTGTTATATTATTAGCCATGGAGAATTGAATTCATGCCCACTATCCATCCATAAATTACACATGAACATGACCATAAAAAATGGGAGAGTAATCCCACATGGGAATGTTTTTGGAATTTCCATAACGAATGAATATAACATTTCATGGTAATGTAACATGTCGATACTGGGAATATAACCATTTCCATATGGATATATGTTGGGAATATAACAATTTCCATTTCCATTCATCCACATGGTAATATCCTTTTTTTTCATGGTCATTCTGAATGAATGGTAATTGATGGATGGTAATTCATATATCATGAATTACTATCCCAAAAAAAATACCATCCATTTACCATAAATTTGTTTGGCTCATTCATTGAAGTCCATAGGTTCCATATTTTTTGGTTTATTCGTCATGTTTTTCCATGGTTTTCTCTGCGCCAATTTTTTCCGCGAGGCCCAAGACATGGGAAAGAAACATTCCGCGGAACTGAATGTCAAGGTGGTGGACTACCCCAACATGGTCTATGTCGCTGGGATGCGAGAAAAAAACGGAGATTGGAACAGAACAGTCCAAGCAGATGAACAGGTGAAAACCACGTGAACAAAAAACATAAAGGGATTGTTCAGAAAAACACCAAGGGATGGATATTTGTGAAGCATATTGAACTTTTGTGAACCATCACAGGTTAGAATTTAGCCATGTTGGGATTCAGCCATGAATATGATTATTCCATTAAACAAATGAATCATCACAGATTGGAATGTTTGAAAAATGAACAGTTGGGATTGAACTATCAAACTAATTTGGGATGGAATCAGAACAAAAATGATGGTTTGAACTTCTGCATGGTTTCAATATGACTATGGAAATGCGGGATTAAAGCATCGAATCTATGCGGGACTTATGCATGATGAAATGTGGGATTCAAGCAGAACACGTGTGGAATTTACCTTCAGGAATGGTGAAACAAAAGCAACTGTCCAAGGAAAATTGAATCGCACCAAGATAAACATATGGGATCAAAAAAATAATACTGCTGTAACCAGTAAACGTGGACATCTACACAGTACTTGGAGAATCATCGTAGGAATCATAAGTGGTCAATAGCGGTTTATTTAAATGAAAACAACATATGTTTTATTATGATATGCAAATATAGTTATTATAAATGATTCTTATATAGTTAAATTATGATGTGCACAATATAAGTTACAACATATAGATATGGTTATAACCATTTATAACCCAACAAAAACAGAAAATGTGGTTAGAGAAGAAAAACACACTGTGAGATTGAAGCATTTTGGCATTTTTTGTTGTGGGTTTTATTTCTATAGTTGCTACCTTTATGTTTATATATAATTATATAATTATATATTCATTTTATATAGTTACTACATTTACATTTCTATAGCTACTACTACAATACATTTATTATGTTATAGGATTTTTGCCACCTAAATTTGACTTGTCCTTGGGTTCACCAAGGTAGGAGCCGAGGGCAACGAACGAGGCCCACGGGGGGGATCCGGGGGCCCTTGCGGATGATGCTGTCTGTGAATGCTGGGTGAACACTTGAAAATGGATGGGTTATACATGTTTATAATGGACAATCCATCTATAAATGGATAAATGTGGGATAAAAACATGAGTTGATCTTGTGAATGTGTTTTCTTTTCTTGATGGTGTTTTTCACCCAACATATAGTTATAATTACTAATAATCACCATAAACTGTAGATAAACAGGGGCCATGAAAGAGTGATGTGGGGATGACAACCTCTGATTTTCCACGTGGGGATCAGTCCGTCCTGCCGTCCTGTCAGGTTATATGACCGATGTGGATGCCAAGGTGGGGGAATGGGGGTTTCGATATCTGGGCAGCTCGATGGTACTGGTTATATTATAATGTTATATATGTATATAATATTGATCAGCAACAACATATAGGGTACTATATTACTACACCACATTATTATATTGAAACACTATATATATATGATTTTTCAGTAACAACACATATTATGATCTATGCATATGATGTCCATCATTTTTGTTCCAGTAAACCTACAATGAAATGATATGAGCCATGGCTGATTTGCGGTTCTCTTCAGAGGTCTAAGTTGAAATCCTGTGTGTGTGTGGTTATCCCATATACGCCTCATTTTTTTGGCCATATGGTCATATTAATAAACTTACACAATAACTTACATGTTTTTGATGATTTTGAGAGTTATCATAACTATGATTATCTCGTCTATGACTGGACCATCCGACCACCCCCCAGTTTTCCGTGAACACGCGAGGCAAAGGGGTTGAAGATCAACAAACTTTCAGGGACGGAGTGCCTTGGAGAGGATCAGAGTGTGAGATATGCCTAGGCAAATTCGAGTTGATTAAGTATGACTTTGATATAATTATTCTAGATGAAAATTGTTACCAGATGTTGTTATGAAATACTTTTGTCAGAGCCGCAAAAGTAGAAACACCAATATCCCATAGGATCCATGTATGCTATATATGGTAACATTTACCATCAATATACCCCAAATGTTAGCATATATAGCATACATGGATCCGTCATGGGTATTAGTATGGTTTCTAGATGTTGGACTTATGGATTGAAACATATGACACATTCATGGACCAATGGACAATTCAAGCTGATTTTATCAACAGTTGAATGCGCAAATTACTGCAAGTAACTTTTTTGACCAAGAGAAACTTCTAAAACGGGAAACTCATGGATTTCTGCGGCAAAAAGAAACAACTAGGTGCGGTATTTGACTTGATGTTTTTGTTGGTTTCATCCCAATTTATGTTGCCCCATTTCTCAGCCATTTTTGGATCCGGGATGCCATCCATGGGATTTATCATCCAGCTATGGGGGTAGCCCTATTTGGGGTAAAGCCTCCATATAGGGTATCATATGTTCCTGATATGAATGGTATACTAATGGTTAATGAATACCAATGGTATATGAATGGGATATTCATGGGATTTGATATTAGTTGTCCTTTTATTGTAATTTTAAGAGGCATGCCTCCGGGATTTTCAAGCACAACATCGCTTTTTTCGAAAGTCGTGTTTTTGGTTTCGACCTGCCTAAGTAAGAGCATATTTAACGGGCATGTGTTAGATTTAACTGGTAATTGTTAAGAGCATTTAACATTTAACGAAGACCTATGTCATGGTTGGCTTGAGTTCACCACCGCCGTGACCCTGGCGTGACCCAACACAGCCTTCTGTCTGGTGAGAAAGATGATCAGCATGTTGACAAAATCTAGGTGTTATCCACATCGCCAGCAGGTCTAAACTTAACCGCATTGGAATACCAAACGGTGTATGAATGAGAGTTGTGGAAAGGTTGTTGTTGTTGTTGTTGTTTTAATTTAATATGTTTTAATATGTTTTAATGGCAAAAAGCTTCCCATGAGAGTGGAACACAAGTGATGGGCGCTGCTTCAGACCTCGCGGATGCGGCGCTAATATGGGCTGTGAGAAGCGATGGTACCTTTTATCGCCCTGAGCTCTGGGCGATCTCCAAAAGATCACACCAGAAATAAATCGTTTTTCACTAACCATAAATAAGAACATGGGATACTTACCCTTGCTAAACATCACTCCAGGTCGCAGTGAGGTTTGTGTCACCATGTGTCACCCAGTATTGGGATCATAAACTTCATCGGCTTATAACCTCTGGTAAACTAACCTAACTGTGGAAAGATCCATTTTGTAGCTGTTATATCAACTATTTCTATGGCCATTTTCCATAACGTTTTGTATGTTTTCCAGGCCGGGTAACTGCTGAACGGAACAGTTGGCCCCAATTCACTGGGAGATCTTCAGGATCCTAAAATGTAGGTACTGTACCATATTTTTGGCCATATTTATTGGGGATATTCCGTTACATAGGCCTTTAAAAAAGGCCTTATATATGGTAGGTACTTCCAATTTAGGTTGCCTGAAACGGCCATTGACCAATCCTTTGTTTGTTTGTATTTGCCCGTGGGGATATCCTTGATATCAATAATGGATACAATTCGCAGTTTTAATGGGATTTAATTTAAGGGCAATCTACAATGGATATAACTGGATATAACCCAATGTATCATTAAACCCCAAATCACATGATCTAATATGCTTGCTCTTGTTTCATCGTCATTAATTGGATATAACCCAAACATATTTTTATGAAGTTAATCCGGTTTTGATAATAATCAAATAATTGGGGTTGTTTAACCATATTTATGGCAACCCAATGTTCTTATTGGTTTTATAGTTGTGATTTAATAGGGAAGTTAATGGAGTTTTGATTGGATGTCAATGAACCAAGAGGATGCACAATCAACCATCATAGTGATATACTGGGGTATTGACCACTTGATAAAATGGAGTTAGAATTCATGATTTGTGGATGAATTATGATGCTCAATAGAATCCATGTATGTTGAAAAGAAATTACCATCAGATAAATTGACATATATCTGGAAAACCCTACCATTTACAGATGAGTTCCTTGCTATAAACCTCCATTCAGTTCGGGGATTGTCCAGCCAAGTTTGCTGACACCACCATGGACTTGCCCTTGAATCACGTTATCTCCCATGATATCCAATTATATCAACTATATCCCATTAGAATCATGTCGATGATATGTTCCCAGTATTTGAATCATAGATCATCTTCTATATCCATTACAGATCATGTTATCTCCTATTACCCTCTGGTAAATTAACATAGACCCTGAAAATAGCCATTGATTAGTTGAAACTAATCTTCCAATCCCTATTTGCCAGGGTCTATGTTAATTTACCGGAGGGTATTACTATTACTATATTTGCCATATATGAGTGATCTTTAAATGTCAACCATTTACATGATTGGATATATTGTTTTTTATCAAAAATAACGATATCATAATAGATGTTTTTTCCCCATATAATATGAACTCAAAAAATAAGAATAGTCCAGTTTAAATGGTATATGCAGATATTTTGTTTTCCATTAAATATTCCTTGATGATGACATCTATTTATGCAACAAAAGGAAATATGAATCATATTATTAAATATCCCCGAATGAAACATCATAATAATATTTCGTGAATTCCATGATGGCTGTCATCATATTTTGGTGATCACCTGCAGCTGTTCATCCCGGCCGAATCGTTTCATCGAGGTTTCGCAAGCGACTTCGAAGCGGGGAAGAGATCCCCGAGTGGTTCGCCTTCCCCAAAGTGGTGCAGGCGCCGCACAACGGCCTCCAGGGCTGATGTCATAATGGGTTGCTGCTTTATAAACATCATTCAAACATCATTCTGATTGGTGGTTTGGAACATTTTGTATTTGTCCATGTATTGGGAATAATCATCCCAACTGACTTTCTTATTTTTTAGAGGGATTGAAACCAACAACCAGTCATTCAACCACCCAAACTTCCAATCTTGGCTATGTTCTAATGAATGGATGTTTATACCCTCTGGTAAACATACAAGAAGCTATTGAAAATGGTGATTTATGTTTGATTTACCCATTAAACATGGTGATGTTCTATAGTTATGTAACAGTTTACCAGAGGGCAGTGGGTTACTGCAACCCAAACAAAAGGTAAATATATGGGTAAATGATCGCCAACAGGAGGGGGGACATATTGGTCATGTTACCGCTATATTTGATATATGTACCTCTCGTGTTTGTTTGTTTGTTTGTTTGTCTTAATGAGGCTTAGAGTTTAAGCTGATTTAGAATAAATATAATACATATATATATATATATGTTTTACAGGTCTTGAAATCTGGAAATTAAGGTATATCAAGACAAACCCATTTTGGGTGGTTGAATCATGTTTCATGAAGTGTCCATCATGTCTTGCCGGGGTAGTGTAATGCAATATGATACAATCTGCTGTAGTATGATGCTTGACAATGTTAATTTATTTTCCATTATCTTTTAATTAGGTTTCATTATGTGGTCATGACACTCGATGATGTTTAAGTATGTCCAATGGATCTTAACGTTTCGTCTGTTTGTTGCTACGTGGCAATGGATGAACTTACCCACAGGGTCACTATACAAGGTGATGCTCCCTACTTGAAAAGTCATCCCATGAATCGAAAGTGATGAAGTCATCCCTTGCTTGGTAAGTCTCCGATTCGTACGGTTATCCCATATATGAATAGGGGATTAAAAAAATGGTGTTACTAAGATAATTGATCTAATACTAATCACTAGATATAGAATAGGTTATAACCATTGTAATCCCATTTGTTACTTGAATTACTTGGCTAGTCTAAGTGGAATGGTCCTCCAAGTAGTTATAAGATGATTGATTTACTTGCATCAATCCAATCCATCGCCCTTGGAACTTCCAACATGTTGCCCCACTGATCTTGGGGGGCAGTGTAGCAGATATACATATACATGTACATAATGGGTGCCAAGTATACATAATATGTACATAAATGAATATATATATATACATATAGAGAGGGAGACAAATAAATATATAGATAAATAGATAATCCCTTCTTCCTAATTCCAAATTTGGCCCCCCCACCCTGAATAATAAACACGTGCAGTAGTTTTTTGTTTAGGGGGTATTGAGTATTAGGGTGCGACGCTTCCCACTAATATTAAATTAAAATCTTTAATACAAAAACAGAATTGTTTATTTGAAAATTGATTAATTAAATTTCCTTTTAAGACCTAATTAGAATATTGCCAAAAAAGTGATTTCGATGCTTCCCCCTAATATTGAATTCAACACCTTAATTTAAAAAAAAGCTCAATTTCACAATCGATTAGATTTCGTTTAAAACCTAATTGAAACACTGCCAAAAAAAAAAGATTTCGAAGCTTTCCTCTAATAGTGCATTAAAAACCTTAATAAACAACTTTTTTTTTCCCATATCGATTAAATGTTCTTTTAAAACCTAATTACAATATTGCCAAACATTTGATTTCGAAGGTGTCCCCAAATATTAAATTAAACACCTTAATATATTAATTACTTTGTTTTCGATCTTAAAAGACAGACCCTAATAAGAAACACCCCGGGGTTGACTAGTTTTTATTACTAAGGGGTGAAACCCACAAATGGGCCCTTCATTTCTAAATTGTGTTTTAAAGGGAATAAATTAAGAATCAAATTGGCCAGTCCCGAAATTTAACGCGGGCCCTAGTTTTTAGATTTTGTTTGGTGGGGTTTAGTAGTAGGAAGAAGGGATTAGATAGATGAATAGATAGATAGGTAGATAGATAGACGGTTGATAGATAGACGGTTGATAGTAATTAGTGATCCCCCAAGTAGCGATCCACCAAAGGGCCAGGATTGCGTTCAAGTGGGACATGGTGTGCCCTGATGAATGCCATCCCCCCACCAAGGCTGGGTTAACCTTGGATAGTTTGCCTGTGTTTAAGCTGGTTATTATTGTTGATTTTCCACCATGTGGGGAATCTATGTATATATATATATATATACATAATTATACAATTATATATATATATATTTATTATGTATTTATTTATATATGTGATATGGTTGGGCCATCTGAAGCAAATCCAAGTTTTGTACATCACGAAAAACATCCAGCCGTGCCTGCTTTTGAAATCCGAATCTAGGGGATTCACAGAATGGCATGCACTGACGCTTCACCAATCTTACCCTCTGGTTATGTGGGCTACCACCAAAAAGGTCTATGTAAGGGATATGTATTGGAATGGAATAAAGCTCAAAACCTGCAAAAACGAAGGAAACATAGATATTCCATTTTGGGGCAATAGAGTTTTGGAGGTAGCTCATGTCAAAATAACTATGGAAAGATCCACCATAGAAATAGTGGATTTACCCAGCTACAACATGGTGGATCTTTCCATTGTTGTTTGTATGTTTACCAGAGGGGTAACCATTATGAATCATGATGAATCATAATGAATCATCAACCATTCCTGACATGTTTTATTCGATTCAAATTAAAAGCATCTTTTGTTTTTTTCCGGTGTTCAGATTTTTCTGTTAAATCAATCCATTGAACCATTCACCATGTTTTTTCACCAAAAAGAAATACGGGCCACAGACCCTCCAGACCTCCCAGACCTCCCAGGTCTTGAGAGATGGAGGTGCGAGCGCCCTCTGGTTGGATGCTTCACCAGATTCCATGTGCCCAAAATGGCCACATTTAGTTCGTGACCTTTCCCATGGAAAAAAATGGTGGATCTTTCCAGTTCGTTCTGCAACAGTTTACCATTGGTATATACCTATTAAACCCATATGGTAGTTGATTTTCCCAGCTATGAACCTCCATTTTCATGAGCCTAAATTCCATCTAAATCCCCATTGGAATTTTGTTGGTCATTGAACTCGCCATTTTTTATACTTTGCGGCCTGTCGGCCGGCCATGGCCCATTTACCTAACGGATGACCTGTTGAATAAAGACCTGGTTGGGTAGGATTCCGATCATCCCAGAACGCCAGTAATCAAGGCCATTTATATCCATTTATCAGTTATAAGTACTAACAAGTCACCCCATTTATAGAATGTATTTCATCCCAGTGAAATAACCAGTTATAACTGGTAGCCATGGCACTGCAGTGATCAAACATGGCGGGCGGCTCCCCGACCTCGCCATGGAGGTCAACAGTTTGACTTAAGTTTGCTGGAAAAATCATGGGATTTTGGCAGGGATTTTCCAGCTTTATCTATTAGTGGATGATTTCCGAGACGGGTCAAATAAAGACATACCCTCTGGTAATTTGTTACATAGCTATTGAAAATGGCCATTTATAGTGAGTTTTCCCATTAAAAATTGTGATTTTCCATAGTTTTTTGTATGTTTACCAGAGGGTAGACGGGGACAATTTTCGTCGGCTTCGGGTGCAGTTTGAAGCTTTTTTCGTTTTTAAAACAGATCGCGGTAGGCTTCGCTGAAGAATCAGAGGTCAATTTTTGGTCATTTTGGTTATCGACCTCTTACCAACTAGAATGGTCATCCAAATACTGGCTGTATGGCTGTGTCTCTGCAGTAGATCCGAAGTTATGGACTTCCTTTGGGAGAAATGTATGACAGACCCTGGAATGGGTTCCCTAGTTAGAGACAAACCCATGCTTGAGATTTTGAGACATTTTATTCAATCCTTTGGTCTTTAAATTGCCATGTGGGGCACATACTCAAGTTTCAGACAAACTCCAAGCATCATTTTGTTTGTTGTATTCCATTGTATCTCCCAGTATATCCCATTAGGATGGTTGATTTAGTCTTCTTGTGATAGGAAAACGCGCCTGTACTTTTATGGATTGCAGATAGACCACGATCATGATCTATACGGAAAGATTATATTTTTGGGTGTATAATTCATGATCTCATATGATCACCATTCCCTACACGTACTTTTGGACGCGGTATGTACTGATTGACCCATACCTCTCATAGGTTTGGTGATGCCGTGGCAGGCGACAAGATCTTCTTGTGAAGCTGGCAGCGCTGGCAGATCGATTTCAGCTTTCTTATGAGTAGAGTGACAGAACAGCAAGAGCTAAGAAACACCTCGGATGCAGAGAGAGACTTTGTGGCTCAGAACAACATTCGATCAAAATTAGTCATCAGTTGATTATTCAAACATATTAAAAAACAGTGTTTCAAAAATAACAAAAGACACTTGATTAATTCACATTAATTCAACATTTGATCAAATATACGGTATTGCGACCTCAGTTGTATTGAGGTACTTTCAACTAGTCAGCAAGTTGCATGGTTTTAGGCTCAAAAAATACCCATAATCGGACTCATTGCTTGGGTCAGGAAATTCTTCCAATAATTGCTGGTTGGTGGTGTCTGGAACATGAATGGATTATGATTTTCCCATCATATTGGGAATGGAAAATCATCCCAACTGACAAACTCACTCCATCATTTTTCAGAGGGGTAGGTGGTTCAACCACCAACCAGATTATTATATGTATTATTAACCATCATTAATATTAACAGTATTATTAACCATATAATAACCATTAACCATATCTCATAACCATCATATTGGATAGTCATCAGATTGCTCATTGTGACGGCACAATCATGGAGACCTATTCCCATCCCTTGCTGCCTTGCCAGCAAGGGCCATGGGATGATTCCAATCATTGGACAGCCTTTCCAGATCTAAACCTGGCTTGCTAAAAATGATGCCTTTGCAAATCTATAGTGGTTGGTGGTGACTGGAACATGAATTTTATGACTTTCCATATATTGGTTAATGATGGTTTTCATGGTGGTTAATGGTGGTTACCCTCTGGTAAACATACAAAAAACTATGGAAAATCACAATTTTTAATGGAAAAACTCACGATAAATCACCATTTTTAATAGCTATTTTGACATAACCAGAGGGTAATAATGGTTAATGAGATATCTGTTGGTGACTGGAACCATGGGAACCATGTATGACATGACTCGGATAATGACTGGAACCAGAAACAGTTGGGAATGGAAGTCATCATCCCAACTGACGAACTCAGATTTTTGAGAGGGGTTGAAACCACCAACCAGTAAAGTATTGTTTGTGAATTTTGTTTGTGAATTATACGAATGATCGTGTGTGTTTGCCCCTGACCATAATGGATATCCGATATCCCATTATAAAAATATGTGTTTAGTATTAGATCCATGAACATGACTTCGGGGGTCCAAATGTGAATTTGTCGATTGGGGGTACCCTCTGGTAAACTGTTACATAGCTATGGAAAATCACCAATTTTAATGGGAAAACTCACTATAAATGGCCATTTTCAATAGCTATGTTAGTTTACCAGAGGGTATGTTCTGGGGATGATTTTAAAAATGGCGCCATGAAAGTTAGGTATCCCTAAATTTCATTGATCTGGGTAAATTTCATCACGACCGAGCCCTGCGACCGAACCCTGGAATCATGGTTAATAAGGGGAATCATCCCAAAATGGCTGCAAGATTCAGGTGAACGTGAAATATTATAATTTACCCAGATTTATCATCATGTTCCCATGAAAATGGAAGTGTTCAACTGTTTTGGCCACATGTTCAGACACACCCATATCATCTGGTTGGTGGTTTCAAACATTAATGTTATTTTCCATAATAGGAAAGGGATGTCATCCTTCCCATTGACGAACTCCATCATTTTTCAAGATGGTTTTTTAACCACAACCAGATGATTATCCCTAGCATTATATATATATATACCCTCTGCTTATTTAACATAGCTATGGAAAATGGCCCATAATTAACCACTATTAACCATTATTAATCACTATTAACCATCATTAACCAAGCGCTGCTTGACTTTTGTGGCAAAAAAATGCCAAGATTTCCCTCCATCCGACGGTTCGCCAAAAATTACCCATAGCACGTCGCTGTTACCGTGGCGCCGTGTGACCTGCGCCGTGTTCGCGCTGCATTCAACGAAGTGCGGCTCGTGGCACAGCGACGTTTCAGATCAAAAATGCGTACCCTCTGGTAAACTGTTACATAACTATGGAAAATCACCATGTTGTAGCTGGGAACATCCACTATTTCTATGGCCATTTTCAATAGCTTTTTGTATGTTTACCAGGCCGGGTAAACTGGGTGAAGGGTTTTTTTTCTGTCGGTGATGATTCATCCCATGAAAAGTCCCTCGTTGACCCGGCCATTTGTAAACCAACTGAATCTGGAATATGTTTATATGGGTTTGGGGGTTCCCTAAGCAAACCCAAGAATAGCGGGTGGTAATGGATATTCATTCTCCATTCATACAGGAACATCATATGTATTGACCAACTCTCAGAAGAAAGCCTAAAGAAATTCTATCTGGCTTTATCTGACAATTTTCGGAATCTGATGGTGCATGATCATTATCCCTCTTAAAAATTGCCATAGCTTTGAGGTAGGCCCCATGTTCAGACAAACCCATCTATAATATTGTTAATTGGTTATATCCCCATTATATTATATGAGCTACAGCCAAAAATTAGCGTAATGGAAAGTTGTATTCGAGACATCTTTAATTTTAGAAATTGAGCTGGGGCTTGGAAAACGATAATACACTCTTCAAAAACAGATAACATTTGCTATATTCCCAAAACCTGAAAAACGATAATACACTCTTCAAAAATTGATGACTTGGAGCTATGTACTAAATATTGACCGTGGCCCATATATATAGATAGATAGATAGATAGATAGATGGATAGATAGATAGATAGATATCTATATACAATTATATACAATTATATAAATCCTTTTCACCATTTAATGATGAATACCATCATTATCCCTCTTATTGATGGTTGAATCACCATGTATTTTTGCCAGGAACCCTCAGAATCAGTGGTTCACTGGTGCTGTTTTACAACAAGTTCACCCCCTATGGAGTCGATGGAGTTCGCCCTCAAAATAAGGCTTACTCCAATTTTCCAGCGCATTCTCATAGGGAAAATGATGTTCTAAAATCACTGGAGTTCGGAAATCTTAATCTCAGAAAATCCGTTTCTAAAATAATTCGGGTTGGTATACCCCCAAAAATCATGAATAGTTACTCTCTGGTAAATGAACATGAACCCTGAAAATAAGCCGTTTCTAGTGGAAACAAAGATCTTCCAACCCCGATGACTGCCAGGGTCTATGTTAATTTTCCAGAGGGTATACATCAATAATTTTACCACCTGGTCATTTAACATAGTTATGGGAGATCCATTATAAATGGAGGTTTAGATGGGAAAATCATCTGTTTCTATGGGCCATGGCTTCCATGGCTATGTTAGTCATATCCACCACTTATATTGCACCCTCTGGTAAACATACAAAAAGCTATGGAAAATAGCACATAGAAATAGATGGTTTACCTATTAAACATGCTCATTTTCCAGTTTGCTATGTTAATTTACCGGAGGGTATAACCTCTATTTTCCTATGGTTTTCCTATGGTTTTTCCAGCTATAAACCTCCATTTTCCTATGGGTTAAATAACCAGATGGTAATGGGATTTGCATCATTTACCCCAAACTACGGTTTTTCGACTGATCTGAATCCCTGCGACGGTTGGAAAAAGCAGTTGGATTGTGGCTCAGGGCAGCTCCCGCGAAGACGAGGACGAGTGGAATGATGTGGATGGGTAAATCCCCAATGAAAATGGAGGTTTCAATGGGAAAACCATAGGACAACCATAGGAAAATGACGGTTTCTAGCTGGGAAAAATTGATAAAAATGGCCCATAGAACAGATGATGTTCCCAGCGAACGAAACCTCCATTTATTTCATGGATTTTCCAGTTCGCTATGTTAGTCATAACCAGATAGTATAGGAAAATATGGGAAATATGGGAACAGCATCTATAACTGGTGGAATTCCAACAGAAACGTACGTGGTTGTTGGCGATGAACGGAAGACATGTTCGGAAATATATCATGACTGGGGAATCCAGTTTGTTTTTTTGAAACATCTTTGGGTTTCAAAAAAACAAATTCAATTCTATGTTTCACTAGGAAATGATCTACGTTTCTAGTGGCTGGCATGCCGTGTGGAGATTTTTTTTAGATCCAGGAGAATTTTACGTTGTAATATAACGGATGTTTTTGGCGTATTAACCCAGCCAACATAGGAACAGTTACTAAGAATCACCATAAACAGTAGATAAACAGGGGCCATGAAAAAGTAATGCAGGGATCACAACCTCTGATTTTCCAGAACTAGGAATGAGCATCCCCACCGCCTTTGGGCCCATAGATATCCATAGACCATGAAAAAAGATCCGTATCATGTGTGAATTCAGTGGTTGTTGTTTTTTTTTTCTCAGGTGTTCTTTAAACATGGGGTAAACCATGGTAAACCCTCAAAATGTCAGTTGTTCGTGGGGAAGGTAATGATCAACCCATATCTCTTTACCAAATTTCCAGACAAAATATGTTCGTTCACAACTTGGGTTGTCTCAAACTTTGAGGGAACACATCAAGTGCTGATGGTTGATAATTAACGACAATAATGTTCCCAGTCACTCGCCACAAAAGATCTGAATGATGTTGGCTGTTCTCAATGATCAAAATTGGGAATTAGCCACCAAATATGGGGATTGACCAACATTTTTCATGGTGATTTAAACAGCAGAAATGGTGGTACTCCATGAGATATGATAGGGGTATACAGTATGTTGAACTGGAGAATGATTATGGAGATATGAATCATGTCATGGGAAAGTCGTTGGGGATGTCATTGGGAAACGAGAGGGTTGCCGGGCGGATAGGAGAATGCTTACATGCATAACATACAATGCATCTATCTATATATGTATATATATATATTATATTATAATATATTTGTTTTATGATGAAAGATAAGGACGAAATCCCGACGCCACCATGCCAGCAAGCAGGGGGAAGGATGCCCACATGACTTTATTTCTCAGATTGATGAATTACTATAATCTATCCAGATGATATGTATAATCCCATTAATGCCCATTAAAGTCCC